TGATTTGGCGGCAGAGGAGGAAGCTGGAGAAGCGGTGCCCTATGACCTGATGGACGTGGATGAAGCGGCAGCGCCAGGCAAGGCGATTAGGCAGGCAGTATATAAGCTCCACGCGAACACGGGGCACAGACATCCTCTTCGACTTGCTCGCGCTCTGGCCATTGCGGGTGCTCCTGCAGATGTGATTCAGGCAGCAAAGACTATACGCTGTGGAGTCTGCAAGGAGACCTCCCGGCCAAAGACGAGACAGCCCGCGAGCGTACCAAAGCCCAAGCACGTCGGGGATGTCGTCTCGACGGATTTGTTCTCGGTGAGGGACCTCTACGGCAAGACGTGGTGGTTTATCCATGGTGTGGATGGTATGAGCCGGTGTCAGATTGGCTCTCTGCTGGAGAAGAAGTCGGCTTCGGAATGCGTGAACTTCTTCCAGAAGATGTGGGTGCCGCTCATGGGAGCGCCACAGATGATCACGGCGGACATGGGACCCGAGTTTGTCAGCCAGGAGTTCCAGACCATGGCGGATCGCTTCGATGTGGTTTTACATCACATTCCGGTGGAGGCGCCTTGGAAGAACGGACTATGTGAACGAGGAGGTGGATCTTTGAAGGTCATCATGGCGGCGTTGATCCGGGAGCACGCGATCATGGACAAGCAGGGCATGGAGTTTGCCTTGGCGGCGGCTTTGGAGACCTACAATTCGGATGCGCTTGGTTCGTCCTTTAGCCCAGCGCAGATGGTCTTGCCGAGGACCCATGCGGTCGTGGTGGAGGATTCACTGAGGGCACGCTTGGCATCTCACGACTTGATTGAGAACGATGCCTCATTTGCACGACAAGTTGCACTTCGGGAGTCGGCTAGGGTGGCTATGGTGAGGTTGCACTACAGCCAGGCTCTACGACGTGCAGAACTCTCACGGGCACGGTTCTCGCCTACATGGGATCAGTTCAATACGGGCGACGTGGTCTACTTCTATAGGCTGCAGAAGCAAATTCGTGGCAAGGTACGACTACGGCAATGGTATTGTCCGGCAACTCTTCTAGCTCTTCAAGGGGGACGAGGGCATGTGACCAAGGTGGCGATGGAGCATCTACGGCATGCTTCGACTATGGAGAAGTTGGCGGTGCGTTGGGAAGATGCTCTACATGATGTTCTACGTGGACTCGGAGCTGAACCAGAAGATGGAGGTGAAGATCCTGGAGTCCCTGATGCTCGTGGAGATGGTGGTGAAGCTAGCGCTGGTGGTGGACTACCGGTGTTCCAGAAGAAGGGCCACTTCCTGGAGATCCTGGTTTTGTAGAACCTGGACGGCCTCTTCCTGAAGTTTTACCCCAACCTACGGTGTTTCCCTTTCCGTGCCCTGTCGAAGTCAGCCTTCCTGCCGGGACACCTGGGGTTGCTACACCGAGCAGCTCGTCTTTGCAGAAGCGGAGAACTAGCTCTATGGGAACGGCGGCTTCGACTAAAGCCAAAGTGGATGAGAGGCAGCCCAGTGGTTCGCAATCAGTGCCTGCGGAATCAGTGCATGAGAGTGGGCAGCAATCAGTGCCTGCGGAATCAGTGCGTGAGAGCGGACAGCAATCAGTGCCTGTGGAATCAGCGCCTGCGGGAGGAGAACTACCTGCACGCGGCCGAACAATGGCGGCTTCAGCTTCTGGAAGGCTTTCGCTGTCGGAAGGACATCTGGCGCGAGAGGGAGCGATGGAGCCGCCGCTGAAGAAGGTTTTCGAGCCTTTGCGTCTTCACGACAAGGACATTGATGTTTTGGCCGCAGCTGCAGAGGAAGTTCATCCTCAGGTGCATCCACTGGTGAGTTTGCAAGCAATGGTGCAACAAGATGTGTCAGATGGCAAGTTGGAAACAGCGGAATACACGACCTGGAAGGGTTCATGGAGCCTTCGGTCGTCTTCACAATGGGCCATGTGGGAACAGTGCAAGGTTGGTTTGCCCACTGGCGAGCAGACGTTTCTGGCGCAGAATAGCAAGGAGATTCCGTGGAGCCAGATGAGCCCGGAGATGAGGATGAGTTTCGCGAGTCAGCACTAGATCAATGGTCTAAGTGGACTGACAACGACGCTATCGAGGTCCTCAGTTTTGACGAGTCAAAGCGAGTCTTGCAGGATCTGCAGCGGAGAGACGAGATGAGTCGGGTTTTGCAACCGCGCTTTGTGCTGACGGACAAGAACGCATCACTGCGGACAAGCGGCAACGAAGTACCATTCAAAGCGTACTCCCGTTTGGTGGTTCCTGGATTCAAGGACTATGCAAATCTGGCGGGTGAGCTTCGACGTGATGCACCGACGGGCAGTCGAATTGCACAACATACACTGTTCAGTGTGGCGGCTTCGCGACCTGGCTGGCGTTTGTGCAGTGCGGACGTACGAGCAGCTTTCTTGAAAGGAGATGCGTATGTTTCCAGAGAGTTGTACATCAAAGGTGCGGATACGCGCACAGGCCCTGGTATTCCGATTCCTGGAGGGTGCTTAGCGCGTGTGCGAAAAGGGGTTTTCGGACTTGCTGACGCACCGAGGGAATGGTATTTGCGGTTGAGCCGAACTCTGGCGGAGAACAAGTGGATCAAATCTTCCTTGGACGGCGCATGCTGGTATCTGAGGGACGCATGCTGGTTGGACATGTGGATGATCTTTTGTTCATCGCTGGAAGCCATCGGCAAGGAGCTCGGTTTTGGCAGCTTGGAGGACGGTGATTTTATCTGGTGCGGCAAGAGGATCAGGCGAGCTGAAGATGGTTGCATTGTGGTGTCCATGGAGAACTACCCACAAGAACTTGCGGCCTACGGTGGTTCCTCGGAGTCGCAGATCATGCATGTCTGACGGTGTAACAGCTGTGGAGCTCAAATAACTGCGTGGCTTGCTTGGTTCAATACAATGGTTGGTGGCGCAACTGCGTTTTGATATTGCATTTGAGCTTAGTTCCTTGCAAGGGGAATCCCCAACTGTTGGCACCCTGGTTCGCGCAAACAAGCTGATTCACGATTGCAAGAGAAGCTGGGATTTTGAGCTTCGGTTTCGCAACGTGGATTGGAGCAGTGGTGGCCTCGTCATGGTCTCAGACGCGGCACTCGGCAACGTCAATGAAGCTGGTACCGCAGAGGATGTGCCTATGAACAAGGTGCGCTCGCAGTCATGTTTTGCAGTGCTTCTTGGGGACAGCGCGCTGGTTTCAGGCAAGAAGGGCGGCTTCAATGTGCTTGACTTCCGTTCGCATCGTTTGCAGCGTGTGTGCCGGTCCTCATACAGTGCAGAAACAATTGGCGTGGAAGAAGGTTTTGATGCAGCGCAACTGTGCCGAGGTTTTGTTGCAGAGCTGAGGGATCTTCTGAAAGGTACGGCAGCAGACTACGTGCAGTCATGCCAAGTTCCACTTGTGGGTGTAACAGATGCAAAGGACAGCTATGATAGGCTGTCGACTGACACTGGCTTTGGGTCTCAGAAGTCGCTTTGCTTCACGCTTTGAGGCAACTGCTGAGAAGGCCCAACACGTGCTTCAGGTGGACGGCAACGACCAACATGTGGCTCGACGCGGGGACCAAGGCCAATGACACAACTCAGCTTCGCGGAGTTCTGAGCCGGGGTGAGTGGTCAATTGAGTACAGTCCTGAGTTTATTAAGCAGACGGCCAAACGCCTGAAAGGTGTTTCGGAGTTGGCCAATCAGGACATGCCTGTTTCTAGCAGAAGAGCATGACTTGCTCCAGTTTTGCATGAAGCTTGGAAGGTAACCTGGTTGGCATTTTGTTGACGGTGTAGGGGTTCACGTAGCTCAGAGTGCGAAGGCTTTTCGAACACCGGAGCCTCGCTTTTCTCAGAAGGAGTACCCGTTGCGTACAAGTGCGGGGTACTTTTTGGCAAAGAACCGAGGTGAGTGGCGATTGCTCGAAGAGCATGTAGATTATGGTGGGCTGTTGAATCAACATGCCATTCTGCCCCACCGTGCATCGCGACTGGTGGCCTATTTATTTCACCGGGTCCAAGGCAACAAAGAATTTTAAAGGCATGTGAAAGCCACAGGATTGCCTTGGACATCTCAGACTGTTTGCATCTCGCCGCGCCCGGTTCATCATCACAGAGCTCTTGAGTCATTTTGACTGCAGGAAAAGGATCCTAGCGCGGGGTGTGGTTTTTGCAGCACATCAACCCCCTACTGGTTTCCACAACAATAGACGTCCTGAAAAAAGTTGGTACCCTTATTCTCTCAAATCTGGAGGACCTAGGGGGTGTTTGCAAAGGAGAGCAACAAGGAATTGGTTCTTTGGACTTGCATGGCTTCAACCCACAAGTGGGATGTCACCAGCACTCGACTTACCGGCGTGCGCTCGACTTAGCGCCACGGGCCCTTGTCCTTGCGGCACCCCCTGCAGCACTGGCGAGGTGACAGCAAGGTTTGTTGCTCCAACCTGTGTCCCCCAAGCTGCGGCAATGCTCCCGGCAACCGCACGGACGTTCCTTTGTTTGCTGGGTGGGATGGCGTAGCTCGGATTGGACAAACTACTGCGGATGGACAAAGTCCATTTCGCACCACCGTTCAGAGCCCCTGATTCCTGATTCGATCCTCCAAGATAACTACCAACAAACGTTATGGCTTCAACCAGAGCTTCCAAGTGGTGCCAGAAGCGGATTTCAAGAAACACAAGGCAAAAACAAAGTAAACAAAGAAACAGAAACACAACAAAAACAGAAACAAAAGCAACAAAAAAAACAAAAACAGAAACAGAAACAGAAACAGAAACAGAAAGAGAAAGAGAAAGAGAAAGAGAAAGAGAAAGAGAAAGAGAAACACAACCGCAAGCGCAAGCACAACCGCAAGCGCAAGTGCAAGCGCAAAAACAAAAAAACAACAAGACAAAAGCAAACACAAAAGCAACAATCAAAAGCAAACACAACAACAAGAAACAACAACAGAAGAACAAACACATAAACACATATATAACATGCCAAAAAAAACGCATCAAACAAATATCCATCCGCCTGGCGCAAGCCGCAGGAGCTGAGGAAGATCCACGACGCCTTCTCCCAGTTCGCGGTGGATGGCCGGAGCCCCGGGCCCCGAGTCCGTCCGGAGAGGGTCGATGCAGCTCCGAAGCCAAATCCCTTTGCCCCACTGGTCATTAGGGACCAGCATTTGGGGCTCCTAAGATCTCCATTTCGCCTTTCCATTTGGAACATGTGGCTTTTTCAACGCCAAAAGAAAGGTTGAAACCACCATGAAAACAAGGCAATGTTCAGGTGTATAAGTACAATGTAAGGATCCCTGTAGCAAGCCGAGCCATCCGGTTCAACTTAGGTTTTAGGTCTTTTTGGTGTTTAGTGGTTGGATGTCCGAATTTGATCCACTGAAAGTTAAACTTTTGGCAGGGGATCTGAGGACGGCCCAAAAAAGGGAGTTTTGATGACCATGGCTCACAACATATGTCTCGTTCTCGTGGTTTTTAAAAACATCAATTCTTTCCAGTGAGTTTCCGCTATTTGGCGCATTTGGTGATGTCTCAACGGGAAATTGGGGAACCCTGTCCAATAGCTGAACATGTGATCCCGTGTTGGCTGATCCAGCGCCTGATCGGGCAGTCGGCCAGGCTACCTCCAAGAGTCGCAGATCGAAATGGCGTGGCTTGGATGTCCCGACCATCCAATCAATCCTGAGCCATCAAAACCTGGGTAAGTGGAGGTTAGCACAGTCCCAATGACAATAAACGGTGCGGATATCCGGATATCCGCCTTTTTAGTGCTTTGCATGTTTTGTGGGTAGACCATTTTAAGGCCAGGTTTTGATTATGACCCACCTTGAGTTACTCAAGGTTTGATCCCCGTGGTTTCCAATAGGACGTGCCAACCCGTCATGGCACAAAACACAGCTCATTGCAGCTCAAGCAGGTGTCAACATGTTGGCCCACGAGCTTTCTCTTTTAGTTTTCAGGGGACGGGCTCTTGACAAGCAGGGCGGGCCTCGAACTTTCCCAAACACATCCATGAATCACGATTTTTCCCATGGAGGAAAACATGGGTCAATTGACGGCGAGTCCAGAAGCGGGAGTGGAACTCTCAGTTGGGCCACGGTGTCCTTCGGATTTGCCTTGCCATGCCAGTTGGAGCATGTCTTCCATTTGCTGAAACGTTTTAAAGCGGATCGATTTAACTACTGGACATACTTTCTCCTTTTTTCATGGTTTTCGCACATGGACGCAATTGGAGCATGTGCAAGCCGTTTTTTTTTTTTTTTTTTTTTTTTTTTTTTTTTTTTTTTTTTCGATCCCGTTTATGATGGGCTTAGGTGCAAGAGACTGGGCAGACACCTCATAGACATGAACCACCAGCCAGAGGAGGACGACGAGTTTGATTTCGAGGACTTCGTAGACTGGGTGGACGAATGCAGGCCCGCGGGTTTACAATTGTTGCGCCGCTTCAGGGTCCTTCCAGGAATCCGAATCTAGAAAACCCCCAGAAACCCAGGGAAAACGGCTGCATTTTGAAAAGAACGATGGTTCAAAAGAATGGGCACGGAATCAACCCCTAGAAAGTTGGGTAATTTCACTGCGAGTCCCAAATAAAGCAAGGGTTGAAGCCATGCTTCAAAGAAACCATCTCCAGGAATCTCTCCAGGAGAACAAGGCCCAAACCCTGGTTTCCTGGAGATCTTTCTGGAGGTGTTTTTGGATTTTCCACCCATTCGGCTGTGGGTCTTGAAGCTAGGTACCCAAAATGGAGCCGTAAAAAGGACGAAAACCTGCGGTTGTTGTTTTGTGGTTTACTTGTGACCCATACCCATTTGGGTGGGCCCCCGATTTCGAGAAACACCCAGTTTAGTACACCCGAAGTCTGTGGCTCATGTAAGCCGCTTGCTCAAAACATTTTTCAGATGAAGGTTAGGGACAATCCCAACCGTTTTAACGGGAGCCTTCGCCGCCTTTTCAGAACTTCAATTCTTGAACCCTGGTTCTGGGATTACGGCCATTTCTGGTGGCTCACGGTTTTCTTTTTTCTTTTCTTTTTTGCGGAGGCATGACTGCATGATGCGGGACCGCAAGCTGGCGGGTTTCGGGTACTGGAAGGTGGAGTGCCTGCGTGAGGCGTGCGGCGCCCAGGCCTCCTGGAAGTTCCCTTTCGGACTTGAGAGTCACTTGGGAAGACCATGAGACGTGGCAACAAAGAGTCTGTTTTTTTTTTTTTTTGGGGGGGGGCATCTACTCAGTAAGTCAGTCATTTTTTTTGTTTGGGCCATCTACTCAGCAAGTGAGTCTCTCCTCTCCTTGCTGATTTGCATAGCTGGAAAGCAAGTCTTCCAGCTCTGGAATTGTGATTGAATGCCAAGGTTCGGGGAGTTCGACAAAAATGGCAATGGCTGCTTAGAGCCGCGGCATTGCTATTAGTTGAGAAAATGGAACACTCATTCAGGAGCATTCGACGGTTGATTTCTCACATGCCGTCCTCTCAATGCGCCCATGCCCATTTGCTCAGGAACCTGATGAGTTGTCACTCAGCTTTACTGTTGGTCGTCGCCGGGTGGGCAATGTGAAGGAGGCCTCAGGATCCCTGCCCCCTTAAAAATGGAATTGGGGGAGGGGGATGACCCCTGGAATTCCATTCATAGTTCCATTTTCCCTTTCTTGGGGATTTTATGGGGAAGACTGGAAGAATGGAATCAGGGGACCTCCTACCCCCTCCCCCCTAAGGTAGGGGGGATTGCCTTAGGACAGTTACCAAAAGAACGGATCTGCCAGACTCGCGGGCGGTGCTGAGAGGCTTCGTGCGATTTTTTTGCCAGGAGGAGTCCGCAGTGGAACTTCCGTTGCATGGCCTTTGTCGGCGGCATGAATCCAGAGAGGGCGTTTTAAGGCTCGCATAGGAGCCGTTTTCAACCAGGGATGCGGATTTTCCTGGAAAGGGAAGCCAAAAGGAAGCCGGGCGTTTTTAAAAGGACCAACAGGGGGACGACAAATCGGTGAAATCCGCGTAAAAGGCGCATATCCAAAGCCCGTTTGCCAGCCCTCTGAGGATCAGACTCCTGCGATATCTTGATGTCAGCGAAGCACCCAAGACGAAGGCAGAGCCGCCGGCTGCAATGGAGGGAGGTCGACAGCCAGACGAGTGGTGATGTGTCTCATAAAAGGTATGTGGCTCTTTTTTGAGGCCACCCCCTTTTTGCTGGGTTTAAATGGAACCCACAGGAAAACCGCCATTTTGGTGAGTTCTAAAGAGAACCCAAAGGACAACCGCCAGTTTGTGGTGGGCCCCCTAAAAAAAGACGCACACCCATTTTAATGGGGATCTGATATCGAAAAGCAGGCTACGGTGTTGGATTTTGAATGCTGGGCAAGGATATGGCAAACATGAGCAGGGGTCTCTTTGAGAAGATCACGAGATGCAAGTCATTGCAACAGCTGGTGACCTTCTTTTTCACCAGGATCCGACCTGCGAATTTTGCTAACTCAGGTTGACATACATGCGATGGAAGCCGCACATGGTCCATGCAGCATTTGTGTTGACCTCGTAGTTGCTTGTGCTTTTTGCCGGGGGATCAAGAGTCCAATGTTTGAACCCCTGGATAAACCCCAGGACCTGGTCTCATAGTTATAGGTTAAAATTAAAAGGGCGCTAAACATGGTTTAAAATTTGGTGGTCGGTGGAAAGCACTTGGCAAGCGAACCGGTTTGCCCTTTGACAGCGTTGAATGCCACGCAAGTGTGGCTCGATGGAGGCGGTTTGGCATCCGGTCAGGGAAAACTGGCCACTCAGTCATGTGTACATCATTAGCGCTAGCGGGGAACTGCCTTTGGCCTGGCACATGGTGGGATTTGGCGTTTGGCAAGCGTCTTCAAGGTTTTCGGCGTCAATCTGGGCTACCAAACTGGGGTTCATACAGGAAACTGGCCACAAATTGTGCCCGAAAACCCCTATGAACCCCAAACATCTGTGGCCGAAATCCCCTATGAACCCCAAAATCTGTGGCCGAAAACCCCTATGAACCTCAGCCCTTTGATTATCTGTGGCTTAAAACCCTATAAACCCAAGCTTGTGGTTTGAAGACCGCGCGCCCCTTCAAAAGTTGCCAACACCAACTTTGACTTCGCCATTTTTGCAACATCTGAAGGTGCCCGTTCTGACTGTAAGCAGCTCCAGCGATTGATTATCAATCCCAGCGGGCAGAACCACCGGGGGCGATCCGCGTCGCAGGAATTGAACCTTGAGGGGGGACTCTTGCGATGACAAATGCGAGTTTCGGAATCAATCAAATCATGTATTTCTCTGTATTTTCAGGGGTCCTTGCAAAAAGGCCTTTGGAGACAGAAATCAGCGAAATCAAAGGTAAGCCTCAACCAGGCCTTAATTAAGGCCTAGCTAAGGATGAACATTCCTGGGGTTCACCCAGGGGTTCAAACATAGTCCTTTTGAGGGGGAGCAACCGCCAGTTTCTCATCACTCCGCGGGCTTTTTGTTGATGGAGAGGGCCAGGCCCGAGGCTTTCCGGGGCGTGGGGGTTGCCCCAAGGCTTGACGGTTGCTGCCATGGACAAATCCCCTTCTGCACCAGTTGGTCAGTGGTTTATCCCTGGATTTGCAGGGTGTCTATAGCTGCCCCGTGGCTTTTTTTTGTCTTTGTTTTTCTCCTTTTTTTTCTTCGGAAGACGCTCTGAGGAACAGAGGGCGATGATCAAGCTGGTGGAGGTTGCCAGGAAGCATGCCTACGACGCCGGTGTTCGCGATGCTCGGCCGCATTGGGCGCGAAGGGGTGCTGTGAGCGTGCGCCTCAGTCAGGGAGGGAATGGTGAATATGGGTGTGTCCTTTTTTAGGCCCCCCCCCCACAAGAAAACCCAAGCACATAAATGAAAACAGTGGTGCTCCTTTTGGTTTTCCTTTAAAACCACTCCAAAAGGGCTGCCCTCACTCAAAAAGGCCGGACCCACATCTCAAGCTCGCCTGTCAGGAGGCATACTTCGAGCAGCACAACAACATCACGTTTTGGACCTTCGTGGCCGCCTGAGGGTCACATGAGGCACACTCTTCCATGGCTTTGGCGTAGGGAATGACGAAACCATGGGCCTTGAGACAAGACGCGCCGCCGAAAGCAGCGAGCTGGCGCCTGCCTTGCTTGCGCCTAGGTGCAGCTTCTGCGGCTTCTGCAGACGCAGAAAGAGAAGCCGCCCGGCGAGCTCCCGGTTTAGGCCCATGTTCACACACGGCGGCTGACGTCGGGGAGTCGCTCCCGGGTTGGGCCAGTGTCCTTTTAGAGGATTGACCCGGGCCCGAGCGTCAGGTTCGGGGCGAAGCGGTGGGAGGGTACTGTCAAAATGGCATGGTGTATGCACACGCCCGCATTTCAGCATATGGAGTTCATATTTCGGCAGAAGAGATGTCTGGACTGCCACATTCGGGAAGAGCTTTATGCATGTCCTGTTTTCCCCCGTGGTTTAGCAGGGCACTGGGGGACAGTGTGGTGGTACAGAAGCCAGGGCTTCAAATCCAATCCAAAGCACCAATCCAAACCACCAACCAAGAGTTACCCGACCGAACAGGGAAGCGGAATCCAATGAATGGAACCCTGACAGCTCATGTTCGTTAGTGTGGGTTTTTTGGCTTCAAATCCAAAGATTCAAACCACCAATCCAGACGACCAACCAGGGGTTACTCATCCATTTTCGTTTTGCCCGGATCGGATTTCGATTTCGCCGTCGAGCCGAGATGTTTTGCTTTCCCAAGGCGCGAGGGAGCCAGGCTGAACAAGCTAATGGAGCAACTGCGCTTCTCCAAGTTTGAGGCGAGGGTCTTGGTGCCTCTGGGCCCCGGGGTGTTTTGTGGCTTAGGGAAGCCAAAAGGACAATACGTGCCTTGTTGTAGGGGAACAACCTGTTCTTGGGGGTATCTGGGTGTCCCGTCTAAGTTGGTACATTTGCAGATGGAAGCTCCCAGAAGGCCTTTGGGGTCCGTTTGGGGTGGAATCGCGTGGGGGAGGGTACCCCTTTTTTTGCTGTTGAAGGGAAACCAAAAGAAAACCAGTGGCCATTTTGTGAGTCCTCGAACCCCCCCCCCCCGGCAAAAATAAAATAAACGCTAAGCCATCTCCCGTGAGTCTTCTCCGAACAGCTCGCAGCCTTCTATAGGGGTAACTTCCAATTCCATTCTTTCCAGGGATCCGGAAAGTAGAGCATCATTAAAAACCCGGGAGAAATGGCGACCTTCTTTCTAGACCACCAAAAACCCGGGGGAAACGGATCCGGTTTTTTGGAAAAGAACGATGGGTGAAACGAATGGACAAGGAATCAACCCCTAGATCCCTTCGAACAGCTCGCCAGGTGGAGCAGTTCCGCCAGATCTTCGTCCACTGGGCCAAGTGCAATGAGAGCGCAGAGCGAGATGACAAGGAGCCGCCTGGTTATTTGGGCCCCTCTCCCCCCCCCCCCCCGCCCTCCTTCTTCGCAACCCCCCCAGCCCCCAGAAAGCCGTGGAAGCGCCGCGACAATACTTGCGGAGCAGCAAAACCTCGGGCAAGCTGCGGCCCGGCCGCCCCGTGTGGAAAAAAAAACGACATGAGCTTGCTGCGCCTTTTTCAGGTCCTTGCCCAAAGCTCGGGGGTGGTTTGGGGCAGCTTCCGGAAGGCTTCCGGAGGGTTTCCCTGTTGTTTTGGGGATATCGCCTGATGTTTGTTTCTCTTTTTTTTCTTGGAGCACGTTCAAGCCGTTGTTCCCGGCTCAGTGGACTAACTGAGCTTGATCGCAGCCGCAACTTTCTCGCCCACGACTTGTTTGTAGCCTGGCTTGCGGAAGGGATGTGTCAGGTTTGTCAGGTTAGCCTTAGTTGGTGGTTTGGATCAGTGCTTTGGATTTGGATTTGAGCCCTTCGCGCTTTTTTTGTGGCGGGTAAAGGGAGCCACCCCTTGACCACCAAACCACTGGGCTCCAAACCAATCAAAGGGAAGCTGAATAATCACCCTCAATGACATTGCTTGAGTGTTCTGTCTCAGCCGCGGCCCGGTTTCACTCGCTCTTTTTGTGTGTGGGTTTTCGTCGAGGAACAGCACATAGAATTCATAAAATAGACAAATAGACCATGTCATCAAAATAATCCCGGCGGAATTCGCTGGGTGCTCCAACAAATAGAAAGATACGGGTCTGTCTTTTTATGGAAATACGCCTTTTTTGCTAGTGTCAAAGGGAAACCACCAGGCAAACCACCATTCTTGGGGAGTTCCCGTATTTTGTGAGACAACCCCCAAAAATAAATACGACACAAAATACCTCATGCAGAGGCCTTTGTCCTGTTGGGCCAAACGCCCTTTAGTTTGCGGGGGGTTCTTTCTGTCGGCCCCGTTTGGGGCAGCGCCCGGCAAGCTCTTGGTTTCCGGCGGATGTCCTAAGGATGGGAAATCTAAATCAAGGGAGACGAGCATGAAGATATATTCAGAGGTGCATTTTGCCAAGGGATGCTAGGACTTGAATTTTTTGCCAACTAATTGGTTTTCCATTAAACCACAAAAAGTCAAACTTTTAGCAGGGGAGCAGACCAGTTATTGAAAGCACATCAACAGCAACCGGAAACCAATCAACTCAGCTTAGAAGCGTGGCCTCAACTTGACATTCAACAACACTAGACTCAAAAACACAAGAGACTCAGCAGAAGACAACAGCTTGCGGCGGGGGCGGGGGGGAACCAGGAAACAAATGGGAAACTCATGGAACACAATAGGCAAACCAGACTCAGGAAAAAGAAACACAAGTGGACTCGGCCCAGAATCAACTGCTGATTTTAAGTTGAAGCTGAGTCAAAAACTGAGTCTGCAACTGCTTATTTTTCTGAGGTAGCCTGCAATTGTCGGTATTCGTATTTTGGGTTCGCTTGTGTCTTTTTTCTTTCTCCTGAGTCTTTACATATATATATATACATAGATACTTTTTTGCTGGAGCCCCTCCTGCGGGTAGGCTGTCGATTTTTTGCTACGGCCTGCGAAAGATGCCAAGGATCGACACCGAGACCCACCTCCTCACGGAGGAACAAGTGTGCCGGATCTTCAGATCAGCAGGTGTCTCTTTGGCTTCCTGGCCGCAAGCCTCGTTACGTCGACGAAAGGAGAGCAAATGCAATCTGCATGGCGTTGAGTTTTTAGCTGAAGCGTCGTCATAGGTGTCCTTTTTGGTTGATTTGGTGGAAACATAGAGGGCGATTCCTGGTTTACCTGGTGGTTCAATCGACTACCAGGGCCATCCATTTTCCCAAAAAGGACACCTATGGTTGTCGTACACTGCTTGCTATGCGTGGGAAGCGCCACTAGTGTGTCCGTGCCCGTGCCAGTGTTTGTGCCCCAGGCTCTACTTGATGCTTTGGATTGGTGGGTTGTAAGTTCGAACGTTTCTCACAAGGCCTCAACCCACCAATCCATATCAATCCAAGCCAAGCCAAGCCGAACCACAAAGTTGGCCCGAGCCAAGCCGGACAGCTCGCAACCCGATCTGAGGTTGGCCGAATGAGGGAACTGCTTGTGGGCTTGGAACCCTTGCAGTCTGAGCACCGCACCTTGGCGCCGAAACCCAAAACTTCGCGGTGGGGAGACGTCTCAACCCTGGAAACTGATGTTGTTTGGTCTCCCTGTTAGCCCGGGATTTGTAAACCCCAGTTTATTAATGGGGGGTGTCCAACTGGGTTTAGTGTCCAACTGGGTTTAGCGTCCAACTAAGTTTAGGGAAGATTCAGACCACTTTTGGAGGAGAGCCCCTCCATATTCATCAACTGGGGTCGAGTCGACATTAACCAGCCCCCAAAGCAGGGTACTCTCACCCATTTGGACTGCTATTGGGTTGGATCTTTAGACTTTAACTTTTCGGTTGAAATCAAGTTGGGTTTTCCACCAACCCCCCAAATAAGCGAAATTCACCTTTTGCAGACTACTCAACACCAACCAAGCTTTGGTCTCTTTTGGGCACGTTCCAAGTTCTTCACCTTTTGCAGGCGGGTCGTTGCAACCAAGCCATGTACCTACCATCCAAGCCCAGTGTCCCGGAGGCCTTCCCCAGTTGCGACATTTGCTACGACAAACTGCCCTTCGAGCGCGTTGTTCTTTAGTGAACCCCCCCTTTTGGTTTATTTTAAGGGGAAACCAAAAAGGAAGCGCTTCTTCTTCTTCTTCTTTTGTTGGGGGGGGGGTCCCAAAAAGCGACACCCATTTTGGGCGCCCAGCCAACCAAAAGCTTCACTTCAGACTTCCAGCTTCACTTCCGGTGGGTTGCTTCCTGCTTTCTATGGCCACGGTCGACCGGTCGACGTTCCGTCAGGCAGACTCTCCTTCCACAATTTCTTGAGATTAATGCGCGCCTTGGTTGCACACGGTCAGCTTGGCAGTGTCAAGCCATTTCTGTCCATGGAAAGATTGTGGGCAAGCAATGACTCGCCGATTTCGGCCACTTCCCTGTGCGAGGCTGGGTCATCGACAATGACTTTGCAGGTCTTGGAGGCCAAGTCAGTGCGATGAAGTGAATGAGAAAGATGTAGGCTGTCTCACAGATTTAGTTTGTCTCCCAGTCCCCTGGCATTTCCGATTTGGCAACTTGCCAACATATGGCCTTTGTCACCTGAGAACGATCCTCGGCTCAGTGCGTTAGCATGGAAGGCCCGGAAATGCGAAGGGCGCCGTGGGATCTTTTAGCTCGAGCAGTGGAAGAACTTCCGGCATGCCAAGCGCGCAGACGCCTGGGACGACCTTAAAAAACCACGCAAGGACCTACAAATCTCGTCACCTGGTGATCCCTTCACTTGGCAGAGCTGGCCAAAGGTTAATGACACGTGGATGGCGGCAATGACCATTCTACGTGAACATTTTCGTGTCACCCAGTTTGCGAAGCACAAAACTGTCCTGTGAGCAGGCAGTTTGAGTGCCGAGAGACGTAGGAAATGAGCTCGATGAGCCTGTCTGAGTTGGATCTTGCCAGACACTTTTTGCGTTTAAATGGAAGTGGCGTGCTGATGTCATCATGATGTGTCCGCGGTTTGTTCACGCGTTATATTATATTCACCGGGATGCAGCCTCTCGCAACGACAATCCCAGCACGGAGAAGCAAAAGCCGCCACGTCTGAATGCATCGTGCGGCTTTGTGCTGCTTCAACTCGAAGCTTGGCACATGACCAGAGGCCGTGTGGCTGGTTGCGAAATCCATTTCGCACCACCCAAATAAGAAACCGAATGCTTTGGTTCCCCTACGTAAACTCGCTTCGCGACGCCGGAAGCGGGTTCCGCAACCATCCACAGTATGGCTGCCTGCTTAGGGTTGTCCGATCAAGGCGCATGTGACAGCTCACGGCGGTGGACAAAAGCAACTCCTTGCAGGCGGTGCTAACGTCTGGATCTCCCCCAATTTGACATTCTTGTAAAAACATGGGTCCAACGTGCCGGGAGCCACTTGCCGAAAACAACAATAGCGACCACCTCCAAGCTGCGAAGCAGTGGCTTGACATGGGTGACCCTGTCTACCAGCCGGCACTTCGTGTTGCGAGGCCAGTGAGGCAACGTGCGTGTCGCAGATTCCAAGGATTCTGCAAGTCGTGTTGCTTGCTTGAGTCTGGGCTTCAGCTTGGGCTCAAGAGCTTGGATCAAACAGTCGCACCGAAGTCGCGCAGGGTACAAGAAAGCGAACTCTTGAAGCGAGCCAAAGGGACACCAGAGGATGGGGAACCAATTCCCCATATTTCGCACCCACGAACAGGCATGTATTCAGGTTTTCCGGGCGAGAGGCGGTTTTTCAGCGCCAACCTTCTGTAACATACTGCCCGCTCTTTTTTTGGCGGGCAATGTCTCACCCCAACTTGGTGGTTCTCGCTTCTTAGTTGGTTTAGTGGCTGGGTTTCCGACTTTCGCCCACCAGTTCTTCACTGTTCGCAGGGAATCTGACAACGGGCCGCCCAGCCAAGTCCTCGATGAGCTTCCGTGGCTTGGCCTCGGGGCAGCTCTACGACTTCGACGTCACCCAGCGCCGGGCGGAGTATGCGACGCCGCCGCTGAGTCAGCAAGACCTGGACCGGAATGGCGTGGTGCCGGCGAAGAGCCTGCTGAAGTGGATGCAGGCGGCACGAAGCTCGGCGGGCTTGGAAGGAAGGATCCACGTGCCCCTCGTTTTTTGTTTTTTTTTTGGGGGGGGTTGACCGGAGGAAATCTGCGCTGGGAAAAAGGGAGCAATCACTCACCGGGTTTGGGGGTTCCGGGGGTGGCGCAAGCAAGTATCCACGTGCGGTTGCCTCGGATTCCGTGGCTGGCTTGGTGCGATGGGTAGGGAACAGGGTTGTGGGATCAAGGGGTTTCTCCAACCACTTCTGTGATACAAGTTGGAATCCCCGGTTTAAATGGGGGTAGTCTTTGGGAGACCCTTTTGTATCACAGTGGGTTTCATTTCCCACAGCGGTAAGGATTCCCTTGGAAGCCACAAGGCATGGCAAGCCCAGGCATCCGGTCCCTGAATGTCCCTGAGCTTAGAGCCTTTTAGCTGGTTGAGTGGCTGGGTGACCCCGAATTTAAGCCACCAAAAGTTAGTCACTTTTAGCAAGGGATCTGCAAATGGGCAGCCCAGAAGGGATTGTTTTCTGGGAACTGGTTCCTTGCTGAGCACCAAGGAAAGGCCGGTTGAATGGGACAGAAAAGTGCGCAATTTCCATGCTTCGGGGGGTTTGGAGGTTCGGGCGAGCGCCCGAACCCCTGGAACCGGCGGTTTTAGGCCATGGTCGAACCAAAGGTCAAGGGGGGTTGGGCGCTCATGTTTGGCGGAGTCGCGTGGGTTCTGCTGTTGCGATCAGTGAGGTTCAAGATATTTCAACTGGACCCGTGTTTGGCCACTGATGCTCATAGCTTTTTTAGAGACCTTGCAGTTTGATTGAGGCTTACACGTGTACAACTGCCGAGCTGTTGCCAGTAAATAAAACAACAGCTGAGAGTGAATCAAGGGAGTGGCCTATTCGGGGTTTTCAGTTAGAGGGCGGGTATGCGCTTACCCGCAGTGTTTTAACGTTTTATCTCACCCAAAACATGGTGGGTTTCCTTTTGGTTTTCCCTTTGGCACCATCTCAAAACCATCCGCTCTAAAGGGAGTGTCATTGGTATTCACCAAGCTTATCCTGGGCTCCTTAATCCTTGCCTTGGGTTACGCAAGGGTTTGGTCCCCTTTGCAGTCATTTGAAGAGCCCAGTCACCCTCCCCAAGACTGTTCCCAGACGTCCCGAAGACTAACATGGAAGTGCACAGTGGAACGACTGATCACTTTCCTCGCGGAAGGGGGGCTTCGTGCAAGTGGGAATTTCCTACACCTTCCCAGGCCTTCCTAGACCTACGAGGCTTTGCCAACGTTCTAGGTGTAACTTCCCCCATTCTTTCCAGGGATCCTTCTTTCTAGAAAACCACCGAACACCCTGAGGAATTGGCTGGCTTTTGAAAAGAACGATCTGAAAAGAATGGACGTGGGGACTCAACCCCTAGCCAACTTGGTGGGCGGGAACCAGGAACTTGGATCTCACTTTGTTGAATTTTGCCAAGGGATGTTAGGGACTTTCACTTGTTTGCCGACTCATGGGTTGTCCCTATCAAACCCCCAAAAGTGAAGCTTTTTTAGGACTCGGACTTTTTGCCAACTCGTGGGTTTTCCGTATCAAACCACTAACAGTGAGTCGCTTTTACCAGGGGAGCAGGTGGCGCAGCCGAGAAATCCTGAGGAATGGAGCTCCCCTGGCTGCAGGGTGGCTACGGCGGCCTTCAGCAGCTGCACCCCACGGTGCCCCGCCGCATCTTCATCGCCTCGCAAGGCGGCGGGTCGGTCCGCAGGGCCTGGTTCGCGGGGCTGGGGTCCTGGACTTTTGGAGCTTTTTGGGGAGTTGGACCATGGCAGAAAGCCAAGGTTTTTGTTAGACTTTTGCTGGATTGAATCCACTCAGGAAGTGACCTACACCGCAGAAAACTGGAGTTCTCTGTGCGCAAGTCATGATTCAATCCTCATCACGTGCCTCCATGCACCCAGTTTTCCTCCCTCCCTCTCCCTCCCTCCCTCCCCTCCCTCCCTCCCTCCCCTCCCTCCCTCCCTCCCTCCCTCCCTCCCCCCCTCCCTTCCCAGGCGCCGTGCTTTAGTGTCAACGTGTACAGGTTTTTTTTGGTGGAGGAGGAAACCCCAAAGAGACCCCTTAGCTGCTTCAGGGCCTGCCTCGTTGTTCACAGATATGTTCCAACCCGCAAAAGCCACAATTTTTGCAGGACCCTCCTTTTGGGGGACACTTTTTTAGGGGTTCCATGTAGGGGGGCAACTGAAATAAGCTGCACATCCTTAGGCAACCTTGACACCGTCCGATTTCTTCGCCCGTTCGCAGGCCTGGAGTTTGTGAAGCACGGGCTGCTGAGTAATGCCCAGTCCAAATCTGTGCTCACGCGCGTGTGGCTGGGCAAGGTGGGTAGGACCTCTATGGAGTTCCGCTACGACATCTTCTTCGACTCGGAGAGTCTGAGACAGTATGTGAGCCACAATCAATCAAAACCCGGGTAGATGAAGGTTCGTATGGGATACCCCCGACCATAGATGGGCGCAGCCGCCTTTTCAATGGGTACTCATGTTGGGGGGTATTTTTTGCCCATTGGGGGGGGGCACGTTGTTTGTTTGTTTCCTACCTTGTTGCAATCCGATTTGGTGGCTCCCTAAATCCGGGCAATCCACGGGAAGCGCCCCGCACCAATTTGGCGAAGCGATTTGGCGCCCAGGAAAGTCGCGGAGGCCTCGTCCGTGGCCATCGTGGTGTCGCCCGCCGCGGAGAGGTGTCTTTGGTGCATTTTGCCAAGGGATGTTAGGACTGAATAGCTTTTATTGCCAACCAATGGGTGTTCCGTATTAAACCACCAAAAGTCAAACTTGTAGCATGGGAGCAGGTGGCGCAACCGAGGTTTCAGCCCTCGCCGGTGCCCGAGGATCTGCGGCCCCTGGTGACTTCGAGCGCGCGAGGGGCGGACCCAGCGGAGTGTCTGAGATCCATCCCGGACCTGCCGTCGCCTGCGTACCGGGTGAAGGCGGTGGTGCGGTTCTCGGACGAGGACATCAACAAGCATGCGAACCATTCCGCGCAAGCTCTGTTTTTCGAGGATGCAAAGGACGGATGGGGAAACCATGGCAGGTAGCACCATGGGCCAAGGCCGTTTTGGAGATAAGCATGAACTCAGTGAATACATAGGTCGGAGAAGGCTTACTCAGGCTCGCGTATATGGAGGGAGAATCCGTATTTTTGGTGAAATCTGTTTTTGCCATCTTACTTCAGCGCTGGATGACATGAAGGGGTTACTATTTGAGGGATTGTCAAAGTCAGAAACTGCTTTTGTTCTACAGCCTGATTGACTTGTTCAACAGTAAACTGGGGGGATATGTTTCAGAGGTACCCCCCCAACAAAGACATGCTGCACCAGTTGGGAGGTGGGATGAAACACCAACCCCAAACGTTCCCGTACATCCAAGAACCGCCGTTAGAAGGAGATGGGCATCGGGTTTCATAAATCAGGTTTGAATCAGACAACCACCTGACCCGCAGCCGGAACCACCTTTTAAATCTAGGCGTTGATTGATCCCGGAACATGCAACCGAGGAAGCTGCATTTGAGTTGGACCTTCGTTTTGACAGTTCCCTCGGTGAACACGTGTAGAGTGAGTCCTCCACAACCAGCCAACCAGAATAGGTGACACCAAGCGACCAGCCAAGTCCTCCTCCTCTCCTGACTCTCCCAACCAGCATTAGATTGACTTGAACCAAATCCAGCAACATACATATCAGTATCACTTCCAACCAGAGCCAGGTGACAACCAACCGACCAGCCAAATCCCCTCCTCCCCTCCTCCTCTCCTCCTCTCCTCCTCCTCCCCTCCTCCCCTCCTCCCCTCCTCTCCCCTCCTCCTCCCCTCCTCCTCCACAACCCCAGCGCCAGGAGGAGATGGCCGCGGACGCCTCCGCGCCGCCGCCGCTGCGGCGCCTCGCCGCGCAGGAGCTGCGGTCCCTGGCCATCGCCTACCTGGCGGAGGCCCACGCCAAGGCGCGCGCAGGGGATCACCCCGAACGCCGAGCGCCCCGGGAGGAGTGGGCGTGGCTGTGTTGCGTTGGTTGGTTGCTCCCCCCGTTTTTTGTTTGTTATTTTTTTTGGGGGTGGGGGGTTAAGTGTAAACTGGTTGAAATGGCTCTGTCTTTTTTTTTGGGAGCGTGCCTCACTTCTTTGGAGTTTTGGAAAAAAGGCCAACAGTAAGACCGATGCCATTTTGACGGGCACCCTGAACAAAAAGAGGCCCAAAGAAGGGACACCGAGAGGAGCTTGATGGCTTGATAGCTTGATGGATGCGTGGCTTGAGTTGGTACCCTTTGTGCCCTACTTTAGTCTATTTGTAAGTCAACGTGCCGAAAGGTTAACCGAAGCTATTTCCAGAAGTGATGGGAAGTGAGAAAAGGACCGAGTGAGCTGTTTTTTAGGGGCTCACTATGTTTGACACATGCCCAAATGCGCATAGCTCAGCATAGCACATGCTATGCCTAAGCGCGTCATCAGCCTTCTCAGCTGTTTTCAGGTCTTGAATGTGGTTTGAAGGTGGGGATGAAGGAGTGGTGTTGTCGCAAGGCCGCACAGCCACAGTTCTAGGACTTTCCTGGTTTGGAAGCCTTCGAGGAAAGTTGTGGTAGCCCAACTAGGTCCCCGTGCCCTTCTTTGGCGGAGGGTTCCCCTAGTAAAATAGACTACAGAGAAAAAGTTGGTACCCTTATTCTAACCTCTCTACTGGAGGACCTAGCCAACAAAGCCCCAGTTTGACGACTGTCCACCGAGGATGAGCTGACGATCTGCTTGGAGCCTCGTGGCTCGTCGCTCGATGTTTGGGTGCAGCGGGAGCGCCCTGCGCCCAAGCTGCTTGCGAAAGGCCGCATGTACCTTGCGAGTCGCTCGCAGCTGTGATGCGGCGAAGAAAATGAAGGCAGCTGTGGACTTCGTACTGATACTGTGGATGGACAAAATCTATTTCGCACCACCTAAGAAACCCTACAATGATGATTCTCCTGTACATACCAACAAACAATGGTTTAACATGGTTTAAGCATGGTTTCAGAGTGGTGCGAAGGGATTTCGTCCATGCACAATTTTTCTACAGGCAGCTATGGAGTTATTGCCGGCGGCAGCTGGCTGAGGGGCACAGTGGTAAGCCAATTGTTTTGAACCCACTAAATGCCAACCCCGTCAAGGTCTTGGCAATGCCCTTGACCCTGGCATTGCCAGTTTAGGACACGACACTGCTTTGTCAGCTTTTGTGCAGCACTACCATGATGCATATGTGGCTATGAAAGCTTTGGAATGGCTTCTGGCTCACGCTTCCACACAACAAGCGGAAGGACACGCTGGCTCTTAATGTGGGTGGCCCGCCCTGGGTGACTGTGCAGACAACAGTCCTGTTTTGCAAATGGCCTGGGGCTTTTGACGTGCCATGATCGCGGCTTGGTATGGGTCGCCACTTGGCATGGCTGGCAAAATGACGTTCACTTGCAGTTACATGGCGCATGGAGACGTGCATCCGCCTTCGCTGGTGAACAACTGAGGCTGTCCATTTGGCTTTTTGCCACCCTGGTTAAGTCTGAGAAGGACATGCTTGCGCCTTGGGATTGGGGATCAACTCAACTCGGCAGGACCTGTTTATCCGAAGAGGGGGTGGCTCTCCGCGCGAGCGGGTCTTGATGGAGGCTGGGCTGGAGGCTCTTTGCCTGAGTTCTCCTTGGGCAGTCGCCATGTCCTCAAGCATCCGAAGGGAGAAGCTGTCAGCTTCATTTGATTTGTTCAGGCCTGCAAGAATCTTCCAGGCCTTTTTTTGGTGGGACTTTCTTTGTTTTGTTGGTATCCCTCGGTTGCTACATTCGCTTGAGAGCCGGCTAGCCAGTTCACACCAGGAGCTCCGGCGAAGCAGCTGGGAGGCGGGGGCCGCAAGGAGCCCTGGTTTGTTCATCTCTCTCAGCATGATCGGCTGATTCACTAGCTGCAGGGTTGTGGGATCAAGGGGTTTTACCCCACTTCTGTGATACAAGGGAATCTCCCCCGTTATGTGGTGGGTTTTGCTTTGGGACACCCTTATTGTTACTCATTTCCCACAGCCCTGACTAGCTGTGATATCGAGGTTCTCCGCTGTTTCTTTCGGGTGCCCATGGTACCCTCGACAAAAGCTTAGGCAGCCCTTGCTTGGTGCTTTGGGTTGGTGATTGGGGATTTGTAGCTCTGGTGCTTCTAGAGGGTAAAAGCACACCACCTCTTAGGCATCAAGCCACCAGAATCCCAGCCACCAAAAAGGGAAGCGGAACAGAAAGCTCCGGACGCGCAGCTCCGCTTTTGGGTTGTCGGAGGTGACGGACCGCATCGTGGCCGCGATGACCACCACGCCATTTCGCATCCAGTCCATTGAGCGGGCGCTGGACAGCGTGCTGAACCAAAGCAGGCGAAGAGTCAGAGGGGTTGGGTGGGTGGGGGGGTGGGGTGGTTGGGGGTGGTTGGGGGTGGGTAGGGGCGGGGGCCCAAACAATACCAGGACTGCCGGCTCGAGGTCATGAGAAGCCAGACGGCATTTTGGCTTGTGCCACAAAATTGTGAACGAAAACGGCTCCACAGGGAACTGGGATCATGTAAACCGTGGTGCGCACGCAGGGACTATGATAAACTGCGCACCTGTAGGCGGCTGGATGCAGTGTATCTCGTCGTGCCCTACATCTTCCAGAGAGATGGCACAAGGTGCCTTGGTTCCCAGCCATGCCCTTAGGTCTTTAGGCTTTTGGGTAGGGTTCAGTGGTAACCACTACAAGTTTGTTCGACTTTTAGCAGATCGAAGAGGAACAGCCACCACCCCCCACCCCCCCCCCCCCACCCCCACCCACACCCCCACCCCCACCCAGGTACGTGATCCCCGAGTGGTTGGCGAACAAGAGGTCTGGGAACTTCTTCCTCGTGCGGTGTGAGGATTGGGGACCCGCCACGCACATGCACGAGGTCCTGAAGCTGGAGCGACACCCCAACACCTTCATCCTGCAGGCGCTTGGGTGTAGAAGGCGGAATTTGGGTGTGGTGTGTTCGTGTCTTTTTGGTATGTGGCTTCAAAGGGAAGACGCGCACAATATGCATATATGCATGTATGAATATGTGAGGATCGACCAAAACCCCCGTGGATTTTTTGTAAGGACTGAATACGAAAGCATATTCGGTGTTACGGCGCTGTGGTCGCGGAAGACCGCGGAAGGGCGAGCGGAAGTTTCGCGGAAGGTTATGTGTTATCATGGGATGAAGCTTTCCTCTTGTACTACACGAGTACTCAAAAGTTGTGCTGCTTGAGCTGGGACAGCTCGTAATCTGCTAGTACTTAAAAGCTGCGATGTTTCAGCTGGGCTGTCAAAGTCAAAGTGTGCTTCATGTGTTGATTTGTACTGAGATGAAAACGATACCCCGAGCGATACCTTCGCAATTGGGAAACGATACCGCAGAGTGCCTGGAGCCAACTGAGCTACCGAGTCTGGCATCATATTCGGCGGTCCTTCTGGTTCCCGCGGCAGAGTTTGTAGAAAAGCGCTAAAAACAAAATTCGCGGTCCGAGATTTGTTTTTCGTTCCGGCATTACTTTCGGAGCTCCAAACGATACCCAAAACGATGCCAAAACGAAACCCATACCATTGCAGCTGTCGCCTTGCGCCGGGGCTGGCCCACCCGTCTCCTGCTTTAGCGTGAATGTAGCCCCCGCAACTGTGGCTGTCGCCGTGCGCGGGGGGTGGCTAGTCTCTTTACGTAGCGTAGCTTGTCGCTGGTTGCCACGTTCCTCCTTCCTTTTCTTTCTCCGGTGTTCTGCTGCTCCGCTTCCTACGTTTGCTTGTCCTTCTCCTTCGTTTTGCTCGTTCTGCTCTTCGTCCCATCCTCGCTCCATTCCTAGTTTACTTCTTGCTTTCTGCACTAGCTCTTCCTCTTGGCTTGCTTTACTTTTACTTTACGGAAACTTACTTATGTTCAGAAACGCATCAGAACGTGTGGTTTTACCTCCATCGCGAAAGTTCGCGGAAGGGTGAGGCGGAAGGCGATTTTTGGAGCAAGGAATATTGGACAACCCTCGTGTATATATATATATATATGTATATATAAATGTGTGGGTGTGTTATCTGTTTTTAGGGGCCCAAAAATGGCGATGTTCCTTTTTGGTCTCCCTTAAACCCAGACAAGAAGCTGTAGCTTCAAAAAAAGACACCCAAATGGTTCAGCAGGGGGCGGGGCATTTTGCGAAGCAAAGGCTTCCGCCTTCCATTGTGCTTAAGTTGTTGTCAGAGGATGACGCAACCCAAATGGCTTAACATCATGCCATTGTTCACTGCTGTTTGAGGCTCGCTACCCTTTTCAGGTTCGCTCAAAGTCAAGCAACACGGGCGCCACCTGTTTCGGAGATACGACATGTTTTGACACTCAATTGGGCGTGATTGTTTTTAGAGGACCTCCAAAATGAGTGGTTTTCCTTTTCCCTTTTAACCCCTACCAAAAATTGGACCAATTAGCATGGAACCTGACAGGGGGGTCCTGGAAGACCATTTCCTTTTAACTACTGCAAACGGATCCCCAACGTCAGGTTCCACGTTCGGTGGGAGGGCGCCAACTCCAAAAGACGAGCCACCCAACTGGAGCTTTCGAGGTGGACGATGACCAGGTCTACGGCCGCCTGCTGCTGGAGAAGCTGCTGCGCGCGCAGGGCCCGGTGCCGGGCCGAGCCGTGGGGGCGGCAACGCAGCACGCCTACAGCCCTCCCTCGAGAAATGGGGGTGGTGGTCAAAAATGGGGCGGGGAGGGGGGGTGAAGACGTTGCCGCGCAAAGGCCACAAATATAGTTTTGCTTTTGGTGTTTGCATTTGTTTTATTTATTTATTTATTTATTTTTTGAGGGGGGGGTTGATCAATACGCCTGCCAGTTTTGACCCGTGTGGTTGAAATATGAATTGTTCAGTTGGTTTTTCCCAATGGTCATCCCATGCGAAGGACCCTTTGAGCAACCCCCATAGATGGGGGTGGTGAAAAATTTGGAGTCTTGGGCCATAGATGATATGCGCGTCTTGAAAGGGGGTCCAGGCGCGCCGTGCTCCAGACGCCCTGCGCGGCCGTGCCGAGGAAGGTGCCGGTGACGCCCACGTAGTCGTTGCCAAAAAGGGTCCATATTTTTGATATATAGGGCCGTGGTAAATGGAAAGAACTAAAACCTGAGGTCCAATTCCTGGTGGTCTGATTGTTTGACCATCAAATGTTATGACTTTGAACCACCCCCAAAGCTTCATGGCTACCCTCCCTCCCACGAGGAAATTCATCTTCCAGGTTCCCTCCCGCAGTTGCTGTTAGTGGGAAGGGGGCTATTTGGTTGGATCTTTGGACTTGAACTTTTTGGGAAGCAGTGGATTTCCATTGGGCCATGACTTTTTGAACTGGGGTCTGTACATCTCCGAACTAGGTTTTGGACCTGTTGGTTTCCATTTCAAGTCCCCCCCCAAGAGGGTACCCTCAACAAAAGACAGACCTAGTTTCATGGGGGGTTGTTTTGAGAAGCGCCTTGGAGCACAGGAAGTTGGGTCTTTTTCTTGGGGGGTTGGTTTCGAGGGAAACCAAGGGGAAACCACAAGCATGTTTGTGCCCCTTTGACCATTGAGACCAACCAGGGCAATTCCATTCGCTGACTTGAATTCCCGCAAAGCTCAGGCTACCTACAAGGCGCTGGGACGAAGCGTGGAACGATTTGTGCTGGCCTGCGCACAATTGACTGCAGTGACACTCACCTCACCTCACCTCTCCTCTCTTCCCCCCCACTTACCTCTCCACTCACCTCCACTCACCTCCGCTCACCTCCACTCACCTCCGCTCACTCATTCGCTGCACGGCGCCCCGTGATCTCTCTCACCGCCCGGGTGCGCACGCTCCCCTGAGGTGCAGTTTTGGAGGGTGTCCACGGGGTACTGTGGCGCAGGAAGTTCTTCGATGCGCGGGCTCCTTTGGATCGCACCAGCTGGGGGGTTCTCACAAGACTTGCCATAGGGTTGACCCAATTTGCATGACAATCCTTAGGTAAACCATGGTGATCTTTTTAATGCCCCCATGGTTTTACTGGTGGATTGAATCCCAGGGCTTGGCTTCCTTTCAAAAGGGTCAGACAAATCCAAAGGGGGGCCAACAAATGTGGTTTTCCCTTGGGCTTCCCTTTGAAACCGCCCTGATTGAAAAGGTAGCCTCAGAAAACACACACACACACACACACTTTTCCCCGCATGATCGCCAGGTTTCAGACTACCAGGGATTCCCGCTCAGCTGCCGGCTTCATGATGATCTCTGGCTTTCGGCACATGTGGCACGGAAAGCTTTGCGCCGGGAGTCCCTCTTCACTCGGTTTGGCACCCAGGTGCAGCTCTGAGGGACGTGAAGATCCAAGTCAGTGTTTGGGGTCAGGCGTCTTCATTGCAATTGAGGGTTGTTGTTTTTTGGTTGAAATCAAGGGGGTTTTCCATGAAACCCACAAAAAGTGAAAACAAATTGCAGAGGGGTCACCAGCAACCAAGGTGTGAGAAAACACATGGCCCGTCTCGCTTCAGGTGCTCCAAGACCGTAACTCCGCGCATCCGCCACGCGGTATCTACCGTCATCCATCTGGGTGATACTCACCCAGCCATTGGGACCGTTAGGAAATAGGCTAGGGATAGCTCACCTTGTAATGTCATGTTTGTTCACTCGGCAAACATGCCATGGAATAGGGGGAGGGGGGTGACTGGAATTGCGTTGATGGTTCCATTGTCCCTTTGGTTGGAAGTGCTAGGTCCAATGAAATTTGGTCCCGGATCTCCACACCTTTTCTCCCTTAGGGCAGGGATCACCAAATCAAGCAACCTAACCAAAGACCCAAATTCCCCAATACACAGGAGTCTTAACCAACCAAACGAGCCAAACCAGCCAAACCAACCATCGTCAACTTGGTGGTTCCCAGCCGTCCGGTTCCTCAAGGTTTTAGCTTCTTAGTTGGTTTTGTGGTTGGGTTTCCGAGTGTAACCCACAAGTTCGTCACTTTCAGCAGGGGATCTGAAAACGCACAGCCCAGTCAAGTTCACTTTTTTCCAGTGGTTTAAGCTGGTTTGAGTTGGTTTGAGTTGGTTCAGTGGTTTCTAGCAGGAAACCTGAGGACAGCCCAGCCAAAACCTACCAACCCCAAGCCGCCAAAGGGAATCGCCCGGACGGGGGTATTTGTGAATCGGAGGCGTTGGACTTGGGCTTCGGTGCTGACGCGCTCTTCAAAGGCAGTGGGGTGGGCTTGGGGCTTTGGACAGGCTTGATTTGAGCGATCCTGTTTGTTTGGTGAAGTTTTGCGGTTAGTTTTGGGTGAGTCTTGGGTTGTGAGTGAGTATTTGTGTTAACTCAGGATTCAGAGCCCTTTCTGGTTTCGGGTGAGTTGTGGCTGAGTTTGTGGTAGTTTCAGGATGCGGACCCCCCTTTTCCGGTGATAGTCAACGGAAACTCGGATTGGAAATCCACGCCTCCCTTCTTCAGCAGAGGCGGGGCGGGGACGGACAACCGCTGGAACTTCCTGGACTGCTTTGCGGCGCTGCTGGCGCAGATGCCTCGCCTCTGGCAGCCGCAGGAGTTGTGTCTGGTTTCTTTTTTGGGAGGGGTTGGGTTTGCCAAATGGGTGTGGCTCAAAATTAAGCAGGAGGGGTTAAAAAAGTGTTTCACTTACCAGGGCTCCAGTTTTTCGAGCCACAGCCAAATAGTTCTGGGTGAATTATAACGACCTCGCACGACCTCAGCCCAAATGGTGGTTTATGTGGGGAACAGCCCCCCAACCACCTTATTTCACGGAGGTGGAACATTATAGTTCACCCGGATAGTTGGTGGTTTGGATTGGTGGTTGGAATTTGGATTTGAACCCCTGGTTCTTGTAGAGGATAAATGGGAGCCCTCCTGAACCACCAAACCACCAATCCAAATCACCAATTGGAGGGAAACTGAAAATGGGGGTGGTGCTTTTCTTCTCGGTTTTTTGAGGAAGGCCCCTTTTTGGTTGACTTAAAGGCGTGAAAGGGGGTTCCAAAAGGCTGGACTACCATGGTCCAGTGTCCAAGGCAGGCCTGGAGCTCCAAAGTAAGGAGACCCGCGAGAAGATCGAGGGTCTGGTTTCAATGGCTGAGGCATTGCTGGCTGATGTGTTCCAACGTTTTCAACTCTGCGATCTCCGGATTGCCATGAATCTGTTTCTAAAGGCCTCCTTCTGAGTGCATGAATCTGTTTCTAAAGGCCTCCTTCTGAGTGCATGTTCTCCTGCAAGTCTTGAGGGCCATCTTTCACCATTTCATGAGACTCACTTCTTGCGACAGGTTCCAAAGGCGTCCCGCGAGCTTTTGCTGCGGTATGCGTCGGCTCAGGACCGAGTCGTGGTTGCAGCGCCCTTGGTGCCTGGCGATGCCAGTGCGGACGCTTCTGCGGCACTGCGCCGTTTGCGAGGTGTGCTGCGCGGTGGTTCGCGCCAGCTACATGCCCTCTACCTGCAGCTGCGGCTGCAATGGATGGCCCATGCGCGATACCATGAATGCACCCAAAGGAGTGCCTGAACGTTCGTGAGCCCTCAATCCACACTACTGTGGAATGGCCGAAATGCTGCACCACTTTGACACCACGGGAAACCATTGTTGGTGGGTATTTACACAAGAATCATCAGCAACCAGGGTTTCTTAGGTGCTGCGACATGTTTTTCGTCCATCCACAGGGATGATGTGGGATGAACACATGCCATGGGAAGGCATGTTCTTCAACCCTGGGCTCAGGTTTGGCGCTATACCCATGGATCGCTTGAAGCCTTGGGGCTTTATGGAAATCCCGGAGGGCATCGTGACGGCTGCCGGGCCCTGGGACCGCACTGTGGACCTGATCATCCGCAACTGCTCCAGCCGGATGCCCTGCTCTGCTGCGGACACTCTGCAGACGGTGCTGTCTCTTGAGGAGGATCCCGCCACGGTCGTGGTAGCACCTCGGCCGGAGGGCCGGCAAGGCCGGCAAGGGTTGGCAACGTGCCGCGCATGGGGCAAGTGGAGCCGAGGTCATGTCAACACCCTTTGACAGCCTCAGCAGTTTGGCGGCGACCGTGCATAGCCACAAGCGCTGCTTGGGTGCAGACGCGGCGAGCCACAAGATATGCCGCGGCGACAGCAGCATCTCTTTCCGGAGGCACGCGGCTTATGATGCGGGCCGCATTGGCGGCGCAGCCTTCATGCAGCACTTCAGCAACTTGGCTTCACTTTGGGGCGGCCGGCATGTCAGAACAGCTCGAGATTAGCCTGCGAGCGTGTGATCAGTATGTGAGCGTGGGGAAGTTACGCATCATCTCCGAAGCGGCACCTCTCTGACTCTCACCGATAGCCTGCCATGTCCAGAGAGGCATTGACTTGTGAGAAATATGTGAGGTTGGTCCATGCAACTGTCCAGCTCAAAGAAAAACTGGCAAAGGGGGTGCAACAAAAAGGAGCGTGCCGAAGGAGCCGCCTTCCAACTGCTCATTCAGACAGTGACTTTTGCACGAGCACTCAGCACCTCGGATGCCACCTTCGGGCAACCCTCCAGTCACGTGGCAATCCTTGACTTCACGTGACCCACAATCAAAACCCGGGTAGATGAAGGGTAGTAAGGGATAAGCCCGACCAGAAATGAGTGGGGATATTCGCCTTGGTTAATCCCTGAAGCACAAATCTGGGTCACACTAATACCAGGTTTTGATCACAACTCATGTGCCTTTGCAGGCGCACACTTTGAGACCCGCGAAACCTGCGAAGCCAGCGGCAGCTGCCCGATGGTCAGCGTGCCTCGGATGCGCCTCTTTTGAGTTCAATGAGCTTGATGTGGGTGTGTCTTGCTTTGGTGGTGCCCCCTCTTGTGGCTGGTGTTGAAGGGAAACCAAAGATAAAACCGCCGGAAAAAAGAAAGAGAGAGACACACCCATGTGCCATTTTCAGCGGTTGACCCTCCCAATTGAAGCTGAGGATCGGAGGTGTTTGAAGCCAGAGGGTGTTTTTATTCCAGGTTTTTTGGGTTTAAGCCTTGCTTTCAAAAGCTGCGGCGTTTGGCCTCCGTCTTTTCTTGGGCCAGGCCCCAAAAGCGCGGACCAGTGCCGTGCTCCGCACCCAGTGCCGTGCTAGGCAGTGGCTACTGCCGGCTTTCGGAACTTCAAGGCCTTGTTGACCAGAGACCCGCAGGCTCTGACGGCGCGAGGTCTGGGTTTAGTGGGGGAACCGGACCACTTTTGGAGGGCCCCCCACCCCCCCCCCAAAACAAAATTACTGTGCCTAAACTGGGGTTGATTAGTATGGGGTCAACATCACATGGGTTCGTCTCAAAATGGGGGAAACCCCTCAAATGACCAGTTTCCATGTGGGACCCCCCCCCCCCAAAAAAAAAAAAAAACAAGCAACAACAAGGGTACGTGGATGTTGGGTTCAGGCTTAAGTTCGCCACTGAATCCAGCTGAATGGACTTGTTTGTGGGCACTGGGTCACTAGCAACTTCCGCGAAACGCACACCCAAGTAGGCACACTCTAACGGTGATCCTTTTGGCTTGCCTTTGAAACTGAACAATCCGAGCCGCAGTTGCAAGAAGCTGGAGCGATTCCCTTCCTTTGGGTTTAGCAATCCCCTTACCAGGGAAGCTGCGCCGTGTATTTGCACGATTTAATGTCATGGCTGGTTGGGGACCTCAACCACCCAACCACCCCAGAAGAAACGTCTCGACCTTTGACCTCTCCAAAGACAAGCCATTTCGGGCTACCCGGATTCCATTTCGAACCAAAAGGCACCCTTCAGGTTCAAAAGGGACACCAGGAAACCACCTTCTACCTCCCACCCCAAAAGTGGCATTTTTGGAACACCTTCTTTGCAACGTGTGCAAACAACTTGGTCGCTCCCAGCCATCCCCTTAGCCTTTTTTTGTTTCTCCTTTTTTTTCCGCTTGTTGGTTGGCTTCGTGGTTGGGTTGCAGAATTGAACCCCCAAGTTCGTCACTTGCATCGCAGGGGACCTCCAAAAAAGGGCAGCCCAGTTTTGCATCGATTCTTTTTGTGGTGGGGGGGGGGAACCTCCTTTTTTTTTGACCGCCCAAAACGGGGTGGGGGGTGGGGGCTGGGTTGGCCGGGGGGGGGGGGGGTTCTCCCCCCCACATTGGGCCAGGCGGCCGAGGTGGTGCGCCAGTGGCTCGCGGAGCGCCGGCGCCTGGTGGCCTGCGTCGTGCTCGGCGGAGCCGACGCGCAGCGAGGGCCTCGGAGGGAGCTGAGGAGGAGCCCATGGCGGCGATTTTTCCCTTTGGTTTCGGCCAAGCTAAAGGGGGTTGCCCTAAAAACGTCTAAAACCAGGATACACCCATGGGTTCCCATGGGGTTCCCCCTAAAAAAATATGTAACAAAAGGATACACCCAAATCTGGGGACGTGGTTTGGGAATAATTCAAGCATGTTTGCTGATGTTTGCCCTTGACGAGCATAGTGAACCAAGAAAAGAGTTGGGGGAGCGCCTTCTTGAATGGCTTGCACAGCAATGGGTTGTTGCCAGCCAAACTTATGAGGTAAATTATCCGTTTTTGTGGGTTGTTTGCGGGTCCAAGTATTCGGTTGGATCTTTGGAGCTTTTCGATTGACACAGTCCGGAAGTTCCATTGGAGCAACATTTGAAGCATTTTCGCCCTTTACAAGCGTGATGAACCAAGAAGCCACAAGCAACGTTTGTGCTGCTCTCATTGGCGCAGGCAGAAGAGCGCACTGCGAAGCCTTTTGCAGCAGCGACCGATGTTGAGCAGGCAAGAGTGAGACTTTGGGTCCGTGAGATCGTTTGATGGACTTCAATCGCGGGTCGAATCCTTGAAGAGTGGTTGGTGGACATTTGTTTCCCCCACCTAGATGCCACCAAATGGTACCTATGAAAGTTTGTACATGTGTCTTTGATTCTGTGACTATATAGTAAAAAAACAACGGACCACTCGCTTTGCTGGGTGCAAAGCAGCGCCAGGCCTAGGCCCTAGGCGGGTTCGCCCAGACGATGCGTTCTCCCTCGTGTTTTGATTTTTCTTTGATGTTCGAGTTCGCGATAGTTTGGCTGTTGTTGTTGTTTTTGCTCGGGAAGCCAAAGATTGACACCAAAATCCATTGGTTTCACCGGCGCAGATGCGCTTTGCTCAGGGAAGTCAGTGCTGAAATCCAATTATATGAGACAACGCCATATTTCACGGGTTTCCCGATTGCATCCTGGGATTATGCCTTCTGGGGAATCACCCTATAGCCTATTTCCAGATAAAACCCTGGTTACTTGTCGTGTATTCGGGGTTATTTGACTTTTCGGGGGTGCAACCCCAGGGTGTAAATAGGAGCATCCTTAGATGTGGCAGGCTTCGCCCGGCCAGGCTGTACCTTTTCGTGAAGTCCAGAGGCACTCGCTGTGCGGCCAGGCGCTTCGCACATTGGTTTCGCCTTCGTGTGATTTGCGGCCAGGACTTCGCCAGGGAGGGGGGGGGCTCGTTTTCTCATGACATAGGTGCCCGATCGGTGGCCGAAATGGTTTGGGTTTCTGCTTTCCCCTGAAATGCCAACCAAAACAGTACGTGGACGATTCCGAATCATAATTCCAGGGTTCTTAGGTGGTGCGAAATGGGTCTTGTCCATGCACAGTAGCGTTGAGACGAAGAAAAGCGAACATATTTGTTTGCGCAAATACCTCATAGCGACAGCCATCCGACTCGGGAAACCGTATTGTGATCAGTTCACTCACGTTGCCTGGACTCAAGTTGGCGTCCATGGAGATAGGTCTATAGCGTCCCAACAGCCTATGCTTGCAGGCCACTTGAGAACCAGCTTGTTGTCAGCCCGTGACATTGTCCAGCATGATTCCTGGTTAGACACATTCTGAGTTTCTCACTTCTATTGGCGATGGCGCCCGGAGGGACGAAGGCTGTCAGGGTTTGCCCCAGTGGCACATGGGTGTGGGTCAAAATTGAACCACCAGGGGACCGCAGGTTTTGGTCCATGTTGCCACTTACCAGTTCCTTTTTGGGGGTACCCGATTTTTGACCCACAGCCCACAGCCACAAAGTGCAGACGCCAACACGGAGAGTCTCCGTGCGAGGAGCATCCCCTCACAGCGCTGCTGAGTCTTGAGCTGCGCGGGGACACGCTGATCCTTTTGGGTGGCGCTAGGCGTGTCTCGGCCAAGAAAAGTGGCTGTGAAAACCAATGGGATCCCATTTTGGGGTAGGTGAATTCACCACCCATTTTGGAACCTATTTTAGTGGGGATTGGGATGTTCACTGGGGGTACGATTTGGCTTTTGACCCATGGCCAAGTCTCTCCAGGTCATCATAAGTAGGTTTCGTTTCATGTTACCAGGTAGCCCAGGGCCAAATTGCCGGACTGCATTTTGCACTCAGGGGGGGGGGGTGAGAGATTGACGGGTGCCGCCAGAAGGTCGCCTTTCAAAGCCCTAAAATCGGGCACTGGATTTTCCCCTTGAAAGTTGCAATTTGCTGGTGGGTTCCATTGACATTGCCACTTCTGGAAGTCTAAAAAGGGGGATGATGAAGGACTGAGACCCCCTGAGGTCACATGCCACAATCTGCATTTGAGATCTTTGGCCCGAGGTCACAGGCCACAGATGCTGTCGGAGCTGCTGCAGGCCTTTCATTTGTGGCCGGGCCATGCTGTCGCACGCCTGGGGGACGAGAATGAGGTGCCGCTCAGCGACGAGGGCTTCTGGGTGGCAAGCGGCTGCCCGAATTTTGGGGGCCACCTTGTTGCTTCGTGTTTGCGGTATTTTCCGTCTTTCTTAAACCAAAAAGAAAACAGCGTATAAGTGTTTTTCCTTCTTTCTTTCTTAAACCAACAAATGAACATATAAGGGGATCCGAAGAGCTTGGTGCTTTTGCAGCCATTTTTTTTTGTGGGTTTCTAGGCTTTGAGCTGGTTTAGTGGGGGGTTCTAGTTAACCCACAAAAATAGTCATTTTTGGTTGGGGATCTGAGGGGGTCTCAAGAAGGGCAAATTTTGACAGCCGATTGAAGGGGATTCGAGAAAATGGTGGTAGAAAGGGCACACGTTCACAAAGACAAGCGTCCGCACACACGCACACACACACACACACACGAAAAAATGGACAACTGACACACAGCAACATGCAGAGCTTATGGTGAGGTGCAGCTTGAATTGAATGAATCAAATCAGGTTACCCAAGATTGGTGGTTTGGGGATTTGAACCTTGTAGAGGGTAGATGGGTCCCACTCCCTAACCACCAAGCCACAAAACCAAACCACAAATTCAAACCACCAAATAGAGGGCAGCTGATCAACAGGACTGAGCCTTCAGGCAAAATGCGCAAGCTCGTCACAGTGGAGATGATCAACCGGCTGTCATTTTTGCCAGGGGTGCACAAGGCTCATATGCTTATGTGATCATTCGCGACCACATGTCGAAGCGAGGCATGCTTTTGCAGCGGAGCTTCTTAGACTCTCGGCTGCTGGATCACTTGCCAAGCGAAAGGAAGCTGGGTGCGGCGCCTCGGCAGAAACTTGTTGGTGCGATAGGGAACGACCCAGGGTCTTTGGAAATGAACTGAAACGGTTTCCTTGAAGGAAGCCACATCGATGTGAGAAACGGGGTCGTTGCATGGCATTCCCTGCTTATCGAACCAGCAAGGAAATGGACTGGGGGCCCTTGGCTCGCCGGCTTACCGGTAAAGTCAGCTCACCCAGGGACCATGGGCTTGCCTTGGATTCAGCGTATCCTGCAGCTTCAAACTAAGAAACATGGGTGCTTCAGCGTATCCATTGCCCAAAGCGCACAGACATTTCTGGGCGTTTGAATCTTCAGGATAGTAATTTGCAACAGGAAATCGGACATCGGATTTCGGAGCATTTCGGATCCAATCCTCCTTTTTTCAGGATCCAATTGGCTCAGGTGGTCAAGCACCTTCAGTTGAAGGGCATTGGCTGGAAGCTCCTCAAGGGCAAAGCCGGCTCTCGGAAAGGCCAACAACTGGGCACTCGACGTGTGCTCTTTGCCGCTTGGCAAAGGATGGCAGGGTTTCCGAGCCATGCTTCTTGTCGGAATCTCCCAAAGTGGATCGATCGTTTCAAGAGATGCCGCCGGTAAATTGATCAACTTGGGACTCCGGGAAATCCAGCGCCCCATGGATGACGCCGCGCACGATGATTTGAGTGCGTGAGTCAAGAAAGGCAAGTGAGGTGCTTGTGACCCTTTGGCCACGATTTTTTTTTAATGGCGTAGTGGCGCAAGACTTCGAGTTTGCGTTGCGTGGATCGCGCCGGAACTTGGCAATCTTGGCAGGGCCTCGTGAAAGCGGGCCCTGTTCGTTCCATGTGAAGTGGATGTGTTAATAAGCCGAAACCTTTCCTCGGGCCCCGCAAACTTCAAAGCGCGGAGACCCTTTCAAGAACACTTTCAAAGATCTAGGAACACCTTCCTTCTATGACCTTGCAACCTGGTAGGAGCCAAGGCCCCATCTCTGTTTGCTTCGAACTTTGTTCTGACTTCCCTTAAGTTATATGTAACTTGCTGGTTCTCACACAGGAATGAGATGGAACGACCCCGAGAAACTCATCCCCGAGGGCTTCCTTCAAGGAGGACACCCCAAAACCGGTTCATTCCAAAAACCCGGGGCCTGGGTCGTTGCCTAGCTATCGCAGCAGCAAGATTATGTTCATGGCTGGAAAGCCATTGTACTTGCCTTACTTCCTTCGTTCCGTTTCCGACTTTGACCACTGGGAAGGACCACCGAAAAAGTTCGACCAACACGAATTTTGGGCCAATCCACTTGGCCATGGTTCAAAACCAATGGTGCCATGTTGGGATAGGTGCACCACCCATTTTAGAGCCTATTTTAGTGGGGGTTGGGATGTTCACTGGGGGGTACGATTTTGGTTTTGACCCATGGCCACTTCGTTTACCCAGGATTAATAAACCCGTCCCAAAAGTGATGAATCCCCACTAAAAGGGACACCCCCCTATTAATCAAAATCAACCAGGGTTCTGCTTAATCCGGGGTTAACCTTATTTTTGGGCCAATCTGCTTCGTTTGGAACAGGGCTCCTTAAAAGATACATTTTGCCCATTTGAAACATGGCCTTTTCCATCAAAACAAAGGGAAACCACCATTTACAAGGCAATGCTCAGGTGAAGAATGTCAGGATCCCTGTGGAAGTGAGACAAGCGAACCCTAGCCGCCGGCTCTCGAGCCGAGCGCAGGTTCTGCTGCCCCGGACGGAGGCCTTGCTGGCGCTGGTGCTGCGCCTCGCGGCGGCGCAGACGCGGCAGCTGCAGGAGCTGGTGCTGGTGTCCCTGGCTTCGAGGACGGCGTTTCTTGGCGCGTTTGTCCGGCGCGGTGTTGGGTTAAACTTACCTCTGCTGGAGAGGTTTTTTGGCGCGTTGCTTTTGCGGGATCCATGGCGTCGGGTTCCGGAAGTTGTCCAAAAGGTGAGAAGTTTGATAGATCCCTTGCAAGGGTCTAGTTTTCCAGAAGGACACTGGGACACCTGTTGGAGAAAATCCACCAGTTGGAAGGTGGGGCCATTGTTTGATCCTTGGATTAGGGTGGAGTGGGACCTCAAAGTCCCTTCGGCTGACTTAGCGACCACTCGCATGCAACCATAATCTAAGGATTTTCTATTACACCCTGGGATTCCCCCCAAGTGACATTATCCAGAATAATCCTGAATAAACAAAAAAACTGTTTTATTTTCTGGAAATGGGCTAGAATAGGATGATTCCCCCCAGGGCGTAGTTCTCAGGGTGTAAAAGGAAACTGCTTGGACACAAGCAAAAGAAGAGGGTCCCTGTTTGTGCGCCAGCGCGCGCCAGAACCTGTGCCCTGGGTATTTCTCATACGCCATGTTCAAAATCGTTCCCGTTTCCCTTTCTTGACTGCTATTGGGTTGGATCTTTAGACTTTAACTTTTTGGGAAATCAATGGCTTTTCCACTAAACCCCCAAAAAAGTTAAACTTTTTGACTACTCAACACCAACCAAGCTTTGGTCTCTTTTGGGCACTTTCGTTCGGGCGTTCTTTGGCTTTTTTTTTCCCTCTCCCTCCTCAGGAGAAGAGTTGCTGACAGCGAGTGCCCCAAAATAAAATCCGTCAGGACAGTGGTTTCAGTGCCCAAGATGGGCGCTCTGGAGCTAAACCTGGCAGGAGGGGGCATGGGGTGGAGTTGCTGGAGGCCAATGCCTGGGCTGAGTGAAGTAAGGGCTACTTCTCCACCCAGGTCGTCAGATAGGTTGGCATTCCTTTCGACCCGCAGGAAAAGACGAATCCGATCCAGCGAAGCTTACCGAATTGACCGCGCTAGCAGGGCCCCGAAGATCCGCCAGAGGGGGAACTATACACAGTTTGAAGAACACCATTCGCCTCTTTCTTGGAGAGGGTCTTTGTGGGGTTACGAATTCCTGGCTCTCTTTAAGAGAACTCTTTGGAGTACCCGAGTTACCCGAGTTTCCCCGTCAACAGCATCCGTCTAGGGGTTGATTCCCCATTCTTTTTAACCATCGTTCCTTTCACAAACCGGATCCGTTTCCCCGGGTGTTTGATGGTTTCCTGAAAAGATTCGGATCATTGGAAAGAATGGAATTGGAAGGTACCCCTCCCACCAACTAACATGGAAGTGCACAGAACCCGGTAGCCGGTAGAAGACGACTTTCCTTTTGGCAAGGGGCTTTGTGCACTTCCATGTTGGTTGGTGGAAGGTCGCCCGGCCTCTGGCGCCCGCTTCAGGCGGCCTGGCGGGCGCCATCTCCGTGCGCCATCAGAGCGGCCAGCGCGTGGAGATGTCGCTGCGGGAGCTGAGCGCCGCCTTGCAGGACAAGGCCGGAAGGGACGAAGGGACGAAGACAGGGGAAGGAGACCTGTGACTCCATAGTCAGGGAAACCAACTAGCAGGGATACAGGGGGAACCAGGTTGATACGGGAGGATTCCCCTGTTGGATGCGCCTTGACGAAGCTTAAGTTTGAAATGGCGCCAAGGGAATCCCCGCATATCCCCGCTCCCTCCGTATCCCCGCTTGTTCGTTTGTCCAACATAGGTGTGTCTCCCAATCTGAAGTCTCCTCAGAGAATAAGTCACGCAAGGTTGGCTGAGTATGACATGTAGCATGAAGACATACACATAGGTGGCCTTTTTGGGTTGTTTGGCTTGAAAGATGGAGGGCGTTTCTTGGCCCTTGAAAGGACACCTATGCCTGACGAGAAAACTAGGGGGTTTCAAGAAAAGCGAGTTGCCTGGATCGATCCAGTTGCGATCGCTTTTTTCCATCCACTTTGCCATCCAAGAACCATCGACAGTGGCTGAAAAAAACAGCAACTTGGCTATCTAGGTGGTTTGGTTGAAAGCCAAAACGGTGTCCTTTTTGAGGAGGACTCTGTTCCAAAGTGGTTTTGGTTTTAAGCCGAAGCGGTTTTTTCCTTGAGGCAGGCTGCGTGCTTCGCCACACCTTCAACTCCCTCAAAACGCGAAGCTTTGTGGTGTCCGCCTCTTGGCGAGCAGTCTGCACAGGGAAGGGCTCGAGGTTCTGACCAATTTTTAGTGGCAGTCCTTGGACTGCTTGGGGACTCGCTATATTCCCCAGAAACTAGGAGACTCACTCATTTCCCCATGCCTTATTGGGCGAGTGTGGCTTGGATGTCTCCAGTGTGACTTGTATTGCTGCCTCGACTCCTGGACGCACTATTTGTCATTAAAAAAAGTAAACAACAACTGTTGCAGGAGTCATATAAATGCGGGAGAAAAAACAACGCAAACAAACCATAAAAAATAAATCATCAAGAAAACGCCAGTTAGGCTGACAGCGTAGGCATCAACTATTGCGGGGGTCATGTTTCTACCTTGGCTGGCAGGCAGTGCACGTCTAGGGGGCATGCGCCTTGCCGAGTGTGCCAATTCAAGAACAGACATCTGCAGCAGCCCTGATGTTTGATATTCATATATATATATACTGTGCTTAGTTCTATTTTCGGAGGGTACCCAATTTCGGGGTTGGTTTAAATCCAGTTGCCCAGTGGGGCCCTTTTCCTTTTTTTTGGGGGACGGGTTCCCCTTTAAACTCCACCAACCACAAACAGGGTGCCGATTCTTTTTGTCCCATGGAGATTTTCACTGGGCATCTGAGGAAAGGTAAATCAGGACCGCCGCATTTCCGCGGGTTTTGAGACCCAGGTTGCCTCATGTGGCGGTGCATCGTGCAGCCCAAGGCAGCCACCCCGGGCAATCCCGGGGCGTGACGCGTGCGTTCGGATCGATGCAATCCCAGGTGCAAGGCGAAATCTGGGTGGCTCCCATCCGGTTCCTGAGCTGAGCTTTTTGGTGGGTTTAGCGGTTGGACTTCCACTCAACCCACTGAAAGCTAGTCACTTCTCGCGGATCTGAAGCCGGGTAGCCCATAAGATTCACCTTGGCTGGGATGGCCGGGGCTTGGGCCCCGTGAATTCTTTATTTCCGTGCTATAGTTGGCACTGCAAAATGATGGGTATGTGGCAAGACTGGGGTTGTGCCTTCCTGGCCAAGCCTCAGCAAAGCTCCTATAGATGCCTTGAGAGCCTCAAGGGACAATCGCCCTCCTCCTGTGGATGGACAACATCCATTCCGCACCACGAAACCCAACGGAATGATGAATGCCCTGCAGAAACTTTCACATGGTTTTGACATGGTTTGAACGTGGTGCAGGATGTCGTGCATCCACAGCAGCATCCTAGTGACTCTGGCACGAGATCCGGCCAGGTCACTACTGTCCGTTGCCTTTGCGCGGGAGCTGGAGCCAGCGACGGTACTCATGTTCAGCACAGCCGAGCGCTTGGTGAATGAACGCTTGGTGGAAGAGAATGAGGAGCGGCTAGGAGGGTAAGTTTATAAGCATGCCGCGTCATTCCACATCATATCGGAGTGCTTGTGGGTTTAGGCTGTGTATTTGTTTGTTTGTGTGTGTGTGTTCGCGAGTCAGATGCAGCTTGATGCAGCTGTGGGAGCTGCAAACAACTGGGTGATTTTTTTTCCGACCTCACACGACCTCACCCCAAGTGGTGGTTTATGTGGGGAATATCCCCCCCAACCACCTTATTTCAGGTTGGTGAAATATACTAATTCACCCAGAAACAAGAGAGATCATGATGTGCTAGAGCAGGAGTGCATCATGCCTTGCGGCACCAGCTTTGACCAAGAGACGCTCGTCCTTCTGCACTTTGCATGTGCCGCTTCCGCTTTTCTTTCTTTTTTTCTGTGTGTGTTTTTTTTGGGGGGGAGGTGACACAGACCCCCACAGCCTGCGAGGAAGTGGTGTGGCTGCGGCCAGCATCAACCGCAAGAGGATGGCGCTTTGTACGATATGACCATTCGCCGAGCTTCCGGATACCTCCTGCACTCCACTTGATCCATGCCCAAAGAGCTACCGGATCCGCACGCCTGAGCTGGAGGTATCAAGGTGGACCACTTTCAAGACTCCGTTCTGGAAGACATGAGATGGCTGCAACATGAAATGGGACAGTGCCGCGATGTGATGCCTGGCCATGACCGACCTACGCTTACGTGACCGTGGACCCGACAGCGGCTTCCGGCTCTCGGCTCCCGGCAGGACTTTCAGAGTTGAAGCGCGGAGAATGCGCGGTGCGAAGTGGACGACGACAACGCGGGTGAAGAGCCGGGAAACGAGTCGGGAAGAAAACATGCGCGCCGCGGCACGACTTCGACAGCATGCCCACATGTTCACTGTGTGCAGTTGCTCCCAGGCACAAATGCCAAGCAGGCGAACAAAACAGAAACACGTTTTATCATCCCAGTTTGCAACCTAGTTGCTTTGGTCAGCATGTCAATTCCAACGCACCTGTTGCTTTGCCGGCCCGTTTTGGCTTGCAGACCCTCCCACCGGTGAGTGGGTGAAAGGCTCGGTGCTGTGAATTTGCAGCACCGGCCGCGCGGCATCAGGCGGGTTCCTTTGTGCCTTGTTCATAGACTCTGCTTCCCGACAGTTGCTCATGGGTCTGGCTGGCTGGCTCAGCTAAGCCCGTTCAATTATTGATCTACAAGGGGAGAACTCGAGACTTGGTGGAAACAGTTATTCGACTCCAACGAACATGGCACCTCACAGGCAAAAAACTTTCCAGGTAGTCCACAGGTGCCTTCTGATAGAAGCACTTCGCCATGCATCCTCCTGTTAGGTGATGCGAAGCCATGCGGACCTCTACATCGTGGGCATCGGCCACAACGAGGACTTGACTGCTATTGGGTCGGATCTTTAGACTTCAACTTTTTTTGTTGAAATCAAGTTGGGTTTTCCACTAAACCCCCAAAGAATTATTCACTTTTTGCAGGGGGGTCGTTGCAGCAACCAAGAGGAGGCGGACCGATTGCTGGCGCGGCGACTGGCTGGGACACTGGAGCGAGGAGGCTTCAGCTGCACAGGCGCGGGGCGGCTGGGCCAGAGGGATGTGGGGATGTGGGGATGTGAGGGGTAGGAAGGAGGCCGGCGTAAAGGGAAACCACACCAAAAGCCGCTTTTTTGAGGCAGGTCCCAATGTGAAGAGGCACCCACTTTGAGAATGTCCAAATCTTGGTGCTTCCCTTAAACTTGGGTTTTTAGACCTTGTAAGTCGGTTTAGTGGTTGGATGTCCGATATTTTTCTGCGCGAAAACTCAGTCACTTCTAGCTGGAGCTCTGAGGACGCCGTCTGATTCCTTGACGCAAGCCAGGGAGAGTGCAGTGCGCATTCCGTGGCAGTGCTTGCGCTGCAAGGGGCCGGTGGGATCAGGGCCACTGAGTTAGTGGTCAGGCTATCTAAATGACCAATATTCAAATTACAACTTCATAAATGAAATATATATGTACACTAACAACAATGAAAGCAGCAATAATAAGAACAATAATAACAATAACAATATCAATAATAACAATAATAATGACCATACCAATAACAAGCAGAATATTTGTTTGCTTTCCCATCATCAACCCTATCTTTTGTCGCTCCGCCAGGCGACCATGAAGCCCCAGAGCGCGAGCCCGGCCGCGTGAACATCGCCGAGACAGAGTGCCGCTGCGTCTTCTTCGTGCTGGCGCCAGGCAAAAGTCGTAGCTCCAAACCTCCCGACGGGTTTCAGGCTTTTAGCTGTTTAGGTTTAGTGGGGGTGTCCATTTAACCAGCTAAAAGTCAAGCTCTTAGCAGGGGGACTGAGGACAGCCCAGTTAAGGTCTACTTATTGCCTGACAAATCAAGGTTTTCAGACTATTCTTTTTTGACTTCTCCTGCCCTCTTGAAAAAAAAGCTGCGATGCGATGGCCTGTGTTTAGCTTGGATCTGGTGCACCATCCACTATCAGACCCCCATGAAATTAGGTAGACCTCAACTTGTTTTTGGCCCCCATGTTTACCGCTTGGTGTATGGGCGCCAAAACGCGATTGGTCGAAACACAGGGCCGCCCCCTCTAATGAGGATGAGACGGCTCCTAAATGTGACGCAAGAGGAAATCCCTTAGCATCGACCATTCCAAGGGTTGCTTGTTTTTTTTTTTTTTTTATGATCTCGACTTCTCAATTTTGAGCTTAAGAGAAACAAATCCCAACCTGAAAGTGTCACCATGTTTTGGGGTTCGCATAATTTTTCCAGGCCATTCGCAGAAGCCAACCCTCGACCTGAGCCCCAAGCCTCGCCTCCCGCCGGAGCCTCCGGCCCGCGAGGCGTCCCCGTGGATGCCGCGGTGGTAGCGCAGCTCCGGGGCGCTGCGGCGGCGGGGAAGTCCGCGCGGGGCGTCTACGAAGCCGGGCCCAGCGCCTGCCAGGCGTTGACACCCCCGCGCGTGGGTGGGTGGGTGGGTGGGTGGGTGGGTGGGTGGGTGGGTGGGTGGGTGGGTGGGTGGGTGGGTGGGGGGGTGGGTGGGTGGGTGGGTGGGTGGGTGGGTGGGTGGGTGGGTGGGTGGGTGGGTGGGTGGGTGGGTGGGTGGGTGGGTGGGTGGGTGGGTGGGTGGGTGGGGTGGTGGGGGGTGGGTGGGTGGGTGGGTGGGTGGGTGGGTGGGTGGGTGGGTGGGTGGGTGGGTGGGTGGGTGGGTGGGTGGGTGGGTGGGTGGGTGGGTGGGTGGGTGGGTGGGTGGGTGGGTGGGTGGGTGGGTGGGTGGGTGGGTGGGTGGGTGGGTGGGTGGGTGGGTGGGTGGGTGGGTGGGTGGGTGGGTGGGTGGGTGGGTGGGTGGGTGGGTGGGTGGGTGGGTGGGTGGGTGGGTGGGTTTTGAGGGTTGGTTAAGCCTCAGGGACACCAAAGGCAAACCACATGCCGGGGTGGCCGCTTGGGTTTCGCAAGCATGTTGAGGCGGCCATTTCAGTGATCGCGTGTGGAAGGTTGCATGTGGAGTGCTTGATGCATCCTTCCGGAAGCCTCGTAGTGGGGGGTCTGGGCTGAATGCGTAGGCCTTGACTTGAAGAAGACAGGTTGGATAGGCTGTGAGTTCAATCCAAGGGTCTGTTGCAGATGGGCCAAGAGTCTGCAGATGAGAGGCCTTGAGTCTTGGAGCCAGGACTTGTCTGAGTGGGGCCAAGCCATCCCCAATGCCTTCATACGGCCAGCATTGCACCTTGGATCCAACATGCTGGCTCAGAGTTGGAGGCTTCCGCCTTTTGCTCCCTTTTAGTTTGGTCAAACTTTGCCAAGTCCAACATGCACTTGCTCAAAACCCGGGTGCGGCCACCTTGGCAATTCTTTACAGATTGATTCTTATACATGGTCCTGGGTCTTGGCCATTCTAGGCCCGGGTTTTACAAAATTGCGAGCCTCACCTCTCCGCTCCCTTCGCATCGACCCGAGGCCCATCAGCCGCTACTTCCCCCGGGTCTCTGAGCGCCTGGTGCTGCAGGCGGCCTATGAGGAGCTGCTCAGAGCTGCGCCGAAGCAGGCGGACCAAACCGGTTCCTCCATTTGCTTAAGATGTTTTTTGTTATTTTCCCTTGTTGGTTTTAAAGGGGATCTATCACTACTGGAAGTATATTTATTTTTTGCCGGGGGCTTAAGCAAATGGAAGGGTTTCATCACTTCAGGTTTTTCAAGGCTTCAGGTTTTGCAGGTGTGAAGAGAAGAGGAGAAGGCCTTTGGCCCCTTAAACCCAGACCTCAGTTGAGTGGCCCTAACGTGTTGTTTTTGCTTGCCGTGTGCTTTGGCCACGCAGGCCGCGCTTTTGGCTGGTTTTAGGAGCAGTCATGTTTGCTCCCTTCAGGTGGAAGCCGACGGTCAAGCGGACTACATCAGAGGACGGCATTTGCACAGCTTCATACCTTGCAGTTGTCAGCCATCATCCGCACATCCGCATTTCAGATGTTACCCCAGGCTTTTGGGCTTAGTTTGGGGCTTTTTGTGTATAAGAATAACAATCAAAGGCTGAATGTGTTGGACTGTATAGGTCCATATGAACCCCTATGAACCAATGAACCGGCAGTTCTGGCTTGATTTTGGGACCAAATGGCCCCAAAGCCTCCCCAAACGGCCCCAAACGGCCATGGGTTCATATGGACCTATACAATCAGCCCCAAATGGACCTTTGAAATAAAAGATGGCAACTAAGAAAAACAATCAACAACTAAGACACACCATCAACAAGAAACCAAAGAACAGCGACTAACGGACAAGCAATATGTCTTGAAATAAGGCTTCACACCCCTGAGGCTTCACGGCGGATCCAGGGGGCCGCTTCACTGATCCCCCTCGACTCTTGGCCGCGATTTTCGTGCCGGGGTTTATATCTCTCATCGGTGCTGCTGCCTTTTGCCGGAGGCACCCCCAAAAGCGGAAAGAGGGGGCGCAACCCACTGGCCATCGTGTAACCACACATTTGAGGTGAGCCGTTCATGCCGCCAAAAAACGGCAAGAACAGACTTCACCATGATGGTTTCGGCAAAAAAAACAACGGGGCGCTTTTCTCGCAAAGCCCGCCTTTTAGGGATGCTTTTCGGCGAGTGGCAGGACAAAAAACGCGCCTCGCCTCGACGGCAGGCGAGTTTCAGTCGTTGATGGCTGGGGACGAGGGCCAGGATCACTCGGACTTCGCCCAGCTGGCCAGCCTGAACTGCACTCAGTGGATACAAGTGCGGGACAGCGTTTTTGTTCAATCCGGTAGGGCGGTAGGGGCGGGCAGAAGCGAGAATGAACCAAAGAAAGCGCCGGTGGTTACAGCAGGCCCCAAGGTCTGGCAAAGGGTTTGTTGCTTTTGGGGCTATTTGAATGAATGCCGACATTTGCCAGGCCCCAACTGGGGTGATTATGTTCGCTGTTTCCAGGATTGTCAGAGTCAGAAACTGGGGTGGGTTGCACTTAGGGGGACACTTTGGTCATGGTAGAAGAACGAGGCCAGGCCAATGGCTGGCAAATGGTTTGTGAAGTGACCACCTAACGACTGTTTTGGGGCGAATTATGCGAGCCATTGGGGAAAGGAGTTCTTGTTCTTTATGTGATTCGTGAAAAAAAAACCGTGTCAGCAGGCGCATGGTCATGGATGCCTGTGGAACGTCCAAGGAAGGAAGGGTCTACTTGCACTTCATGTGCAAGGTACCATCGAGTCATGGGAAATGCCTAACATGGCCCTGTTTTCACCCTGCTCTGGTGAGATTATAGAAGGAAGCCTCATTGACTAAAGGGGAGTGCTTGGCAGGACTTGCGCCTGGTCTTGGGTGCAGAAGACAGCACTGAGACCTTGAGGTGTCTTCTGGAGGACGGCATGGGTCACACGCCGTGCTGTTCGACTTCACCTCCACTTCACCTCCATGGTTTAGTTCCCAAATTGGAGTGACATGAAGCGCTGAACCCAGTTGACGGGCATGAAGCGCTGAACGCCTGAGGAAATGAAAACTCTCTAGTCGAACGACGTGCAACTGGACCTCCATGGTTGAATTCCCAAATCGGAGTTGACAAACATGAAGCGCCGAAAGCCCCCCCCCCTGACGTGGGCGTGCAGCAGCCGGCAACATGCAGGAGAAAGCCTCGTCCATCATGTCCTCAGCAACGATGCTACACGGCTCTGCGATTCGGCCGATGTACTTATCTTTTCTACCAGGCGGGATCTCGAACACGCAAAATCTGCAAGATTTGGCATGGAGAGGCACCAAAGCTCCCAGGAGTAGTGTTATGAAGTCAAGCTGGGTATGGGTCAAAATTAAGCCACCAGGGGACCGCAGGTTAGTCCTTGGTTCCATTTACCAGGGTTCAATTTTGGGCGCATATTTTTGACCCACAGCCAGCTCTTGCAAGAGTAAGGGGATTCTATTTCATGGCTTCTTTTCTCGCCTCATTGCGGAGTTCCAAGTCTTCAGAAACGCGTGTAACATAGGCTGGTGAAGAAGTCGCACCAAAGCCTGCAATCTGGGGCGTCGTCAAATGTAGAGCTCCCGTTTGGCATCCGCTTTCAAAAGGCACAGGGCGGCATGGGTCCGAACTGGTGGCCATGTTCTGGAGACTCCAATCGAGCCACAAAAAAAGACGCGTAGATGCAGGTTAGTACGGGACAATCCCAACCATAAATGGGCGCAGTCGCCCTGTGGATTCTTTACGTGGCTTTGGGTACATCTAGGGGCTGATTCCCCATTCTGTTCAACCATCGTTCTTTTCAAAAACCAGCTGTTTCCACAGGGTTTTTGGTGGTTTTCTGGAAAGAAGCATCCGTGGAAAGAATGGGGAAGCTACTCCTAGAGTAATTACACGGTTTTGCTACCGGGTTTTGGTTGTGACCCGGTTGGCCAGAAGGCAAGCCCCTTGCCCCCAGCAGGCGACGTGCGCACCATGCCGGCCTGCTGCGCCACTCCATCACACGCCACGACCCCTGCGAGCCACTGCCAAACGCCCAAGAGCACAGCCGCTTGGGCGAACCGCTTCAGCCACAATCAAAAGCCGGGTAGAGGGAGGTTTGTAAGTGAGACTCACACCCAGAATTCGGTGCGGCCGCCTTTGTAGTTCTTTACATTGGTTGGTTGGCCATTTTCATTCCGCCTTTTGATTGTGACTCTATGTGCAAGCATGTTTTCGGGATGGATCTTGAGTCCCATCCACCCCCCCTTCCCCAAAAAGCAAAACAACTCGTCGCTGTTTGCTGTGCCGTGCAGACTGAAGGCAGGCCTGCTAGAAGGCACAGCTGTGATTCCAGCGAGCTTCTGCGTGCCGGTGTTGGGATCTCCTCACTCAAGGAACTCACGAAGTTTCCCAAGGTCGGGAGACTCACAAACTTTCCCATGTCCTCTTCTAGGTGGTTTCCGGCCATCTCCTTAGGCTTTTAGCTTTTTCGTGCTTAGTGGCTGGATTTCCACTTAACCCAACTTTTAGCGGAGGATCAGAAGACAGACCAGTCTTGTGGGAGAGCCTCAGTGATTTTGACAGAAGCTCACATTGAGGCTAGCCGGCATGGCCCGATGGTCTGCAATGTGCCCTCTGAGAATCAGCTGATTTGCCTTGAGAAGGCCGGAAGCGGCAAGCGGCAAGCGGCAACCCGGGAGGGTGCAATTTGTTGGCCTTCGAAATGGCCCACATCTCACATCTTTCGAAATAGACAAAAGGAGTAATTCGTACTTGTGCATTGACTTTTTGACCAACCCCAAACCGCCCAATAGCCCAAGCCTCACCCACTCCAACACCGGCACCCCGACCCCCAAACCCCAAGCCCCAAAAGAAAAACGCCAAACCCCAAACCACTAGCCCAATCCTCACCCACCCGACGCCCCAAAATCCCCCGACTCCCCACGGATCGCCCGCGAGAGGCGCTGCACCACCTGCCGGGCGGCCCGGTGGACAGCATGGCCGTGGGCTTCGGCGTGGTGGACGGCCACGAAGGCGCGCGCGCGCGAAGTGATCGCGAAAGCGGGCCTGCGGGCCGAGTCGGGCCGGGTCGAGCCGACCTCACCCGTTCCGTTCCAGGGCACCGGTCTTCTGGATTTCTATGGCCGGAAGCCGAAGGGACACAACAGTGGGTTACTGCCAGCCAAACTTATGGGATTAATTTTCCCCTTCATGATGGGCTGTTTGAGGGTCCAGGTGTTTGGTTGGACCTTTAGGCTTTAGCTTTTGGGAATTGAAGTTGGTTTGCCGTATTGAACCCACAAAAAGTGGTTCACTTTTTGCAGAGGGGAGAAAAAGCAACCAAGTCTGAACATAGGGAAATTGGATCCGCAAAACTGGGGTGGGTGCCCTTTCGATTTCCATTACCTCAACAAGAATCACGGCCCAAATGCCTGCCAGAAGCCTCTTGACTGCTGGGTGTTTTTCCATTTCCCCCCGAAATACCCCTCAGCCGCCCCTCACGCGTATTTGTTCGGGTTTCCGGTAAGGAGCCGCTTGCGGCTTGCGGCTTGCGCCAGGCCCCGGGTTTCCGGAGCTCCTTTTGGCCTCTCACATCGCCGTGCTGGAGAACGGCCACAAAGGCACGCCGAGCCTCTCCCAGCACTTGGAGGGCGGTGAGCTCTTCATTGAAGCCGTGCCTTGCCGATGCAAGCTGAGGGCACTCCCATGCACTCCTTGCCACATGTGCCCGCCCGCACGCGGGTGTGTTTGTGTGAGACAGAGAGGGTGAGAGAGTGAGTCAGTGAGTCAGTGAGACAGAGAGACAGAGAGACAGGGGGGCAGGGGGCCAGGGGGCGGGAGTCAGAGAGGCAGAGAGTCAGTGAGACAGTGAGTCAACGAGTCAGTGAGTCAGTGAGTCAGTGAGTCAGTGAGCGAGGGAGGCACGGACGGAGGGAGGAGGGAGTACGTCAGAGTGAGAGTGAGAGCGAGGGTCAGGGTCAAGGTGAGTGTGGGAGTGAGAGTGAGTGTGACAGTGAGTGTGAGTGTGAGAGTGAGAGTGAGTGCGAGAGAGTGAGCGAGAAGCGAGTGAGAGTGAGCAAGTGAGCGTGTGACCGTGAGAGCGTGAGGGGGAGCGTGAGAGGAAGCATGAGCGAGAGAGAGAGAGAGAGAGAGAGAGAGCGAGTGAGGGTCAGGGTGAGTGTCAGAGTGAGTCAGGGAGCGAGTGAGCGAGTGAGCGAGTGAGAGTGAGTCAGCGTGAGCGTGAGCGTGTGAGTGTGATGGTGAGTATGAGCGTGATTGTGAGTGTGAGGGTATTGCTTTATCACTGGGGTCCGAACATCGCAAAATTGTTTTTCACCATCACTGCCACTGCATCAAATACAGTGTCTCTTGCTGGCATGATGCGGGCGAGGTGTAGATTGTCTTGCGTGCTTTTCTAATCCCATGTGCCAGGCTCCCGCACAAACTGATTCAAAGTTCATGTCTCTAGCCCCTTTTTTGCGCCTATCAAGCGCGGCTTTGGGTCCATTCCAGTGGTTCGCACGCCTTTTTTTGGGCGTTGCCTCCGAGGTGATCGCCATCATCACCGGCCGGCTGGCGAGTTGCAGAGAAAACCAGCTGGAGGACCTGGATGCGGCTCTAGGTGAAGAGCTGGAGCCAGGCAAGGACCATTTTCTCGCAGCAAACCCAGCAGGCGATGAGTGAATTTTTGGGGGTTTTTCTCTCCCCATTTGGCCGGGTGGACACAATTCTCCACCGTAGATCATGTACAAGCGTCTTTGAAAGAAACAAAACACACACACACACTTGAAAAGAACAGAAAATACAACAAAAAGTCAGCTGCAGGCCAGTCCACCAATTGCCCATGTCATTTGGGGGTCCATGCGGTGATTTGCAGCATATGTTCGTCTGCAGAGCTCTGCCACCTCAAGGGCGCGTCGCATTTTGTTCCTTGTCTCGAGGTATGACCCTGAGAGAGCTGGTCGCCACAGATTCCGAGGGCTGCTTGGCGGGCTGAAGGTTAGGGGGTAAGCCCCTTGCCAGAAGCCCTTGCCAGAAACGGGTGCGGACATAATGTTAACCCCGGATTAAGTAGAAGCCCTGGTTGATTAATAGAGGTATGTCCCCTTTTAGTGGGGATTCAAATCACTTTTGGAGGGAACACCCCCCTAATAATGGGACGGGTTCATGAATGATTATC